GATATACAATATACAGATATTTTTAGAAAAGAAAATCATAGACTCAACTTATTAATGAATAGAAATAAACAATTTTTAAACAAAATTTAGTAAACTCAATTCAAGATATCACACCCTGGAAATATTATGTTTATATAAAATGCAAAAATAGTACTCAAAACATTGATGCATTTGAGGTTAAAAAAAACTATATGATCATCTCAGTGGATGCAAAAAAGAAAGACATTGGGTAAAATTCATTATTCATTTATGATTTTAGAAAACTTTTAGTAACTGAAAGTAAAAGGGAACTTCCTTAATCTGATAATTTGTATCTACTAAACTAAACCAAACTCTAATAATTGTGGTCCTAAATATGGAAATACTAGAAATACTCACTTTAAAAATCAAGAAGTTTATGCCTACCAAAATGAGAAGTTATGACAACTATCACCTCTTCTATTTAATATTGCATTGAAAGTCTTACAATATAAGGAAAAGAAAAGAACTCCATAGGATTTAAAACTTGGGAATAAAATTTTCATTATTTGAAAGATTTATTTCTACTTCTACATTTTCAAAGTCCAAAAGCATCTATGTAAAATTTATAGAAAATAATAGAGTTTTGTAAATGTTTCAATATCAGACGAGTACATTATAGTCAATTATAGTTCTTTATCCTACATAGAAAACATAAAAAATAAGATATAATATACCTAGGAATACATATAATAAACATCTCTCCACCTCCCCAATTTATAAAAACTTTAATGAAGGGAATTAAAGACCAAAAATACATGGAGAGAGAACCCATGTTTCTGTATATAAAAATTAATACCACAGTAATATTCTTTCCAAACTGATAAATCTATAAATTTTAACAAAAATTCAACTAACATATTTATTCTAATATTATATTTAAAGGCTAAAGTAGCCAAGATTGATAATAATTAGAATAATAAAGGCTTGCTACACTATAGTTAAGAACTTTTTATAAAACTATTGTTTTTATTTTTGATATTATATATTTTTAAAAATAAATTTATTTTATTTTTTTATTTTTATGTTGTGCTGAGGATCGAACCCACTGCCTCACAAATGCCTGGCAAGCCCTCTTCCACTGAGTTACAATCTTAGCCCCTTGTATTACTGATGAACAGTAATATTTTTTAAAGCATCTTATTGGTGCTAGTATGGGAAAGTTGATGAACAGATCAGAATTAAGAGCTGAGAAACAAATTATTATATGGCAGACTGCTTGAGGAACTAAGGGACTTTGGTAAATATAATTCTGAAAAATGTTGTAATTCATATAAAAAATATACCACTTCCATTAGAAAAATAATTTGCTAAGATTGCCACTAAAAGAAACCTGTAAGGATTTAAAGAAGTGAAGCTACGTTCCAATGATATTGTGGACCTTGTAATTTTAAAGTACCTCCATAAATAATTTATTCAAATTATTCTGTTATAATAAAGTAAAGCAAGCACTCATTCTGTTTTCAGAATACATGTGCTATCATTTATTATGTAAACTTTTAATAAATCCAGTTGTTGCTAAAATGACTAGTTATGACAATTGGCATGATAGTTATACCCTCCAAAGGAAAAATTGTTGTCAGTTTGAGCACATCCTAAAGAAATTAGAGGTGAATTGCCATGATGTTTAGGATTTGCTTTAAAATATTCCAGTCAAAATAAAATAAGTGAAAATAAGGTTGACATGATTTTGACAGTTATTAAAGCTGGATGATAGGTTTTAATAGATAGGTGCATAGAGGTTTATAACATTGCTTAGTTTCGTATATGCTTCAGATTTTCCAAAATAAAATACTTAAAAATTCTGAAAAGAAAAAGAAAATTGGATTTCTACCTCACACTTTATATAGATATCAATTCCTGATGGACCAAGAACTTAAATATCAAAAGCAAAACTTTAAAACTTAGAAGAATATATGTGAATGTCTTTCTGATCTTTTTATAAGGGATGATTTCTTAAACATACAAAGTGCTAATTACATAAGAATAGAATAATTAAATCTATTACATTAAAATTAGGAATTGCTGTTCATCAGTAATACATAGGAAAGTGAAAAACAAACTCTTAAGTTTTTCCTCACACCTATAAAAAGGAACTAGCATTCAAAATATATTAAAAAACTATGAATCAGTAAGAAAAAGATGAACAACTTAATAGAAAAATGGGCAAAAGGCATTACTCACCTCATTAGCAGATAGACATATGTATACAGAGACCACAATGAGACACTCTTTTATACTTATGTATTTGACAAACATGAAGAAGTCAGACAAAACCAAGTGTAGGAAAGGATATGGATCAATAGAATTTCTAATAAATTGCTGGGGTGGGATGTGGGGAAAAGATACTTTTGCATCACATTGTAAAGCTGAATATTTTTTAAAAATTACAACACAGAAATTTCATTCCTACATGCATTCCCAAGAGTACCTCTGCATATGTGTAACCCTCAAGAATTATATTAGTCTGTAGTAAGTTGAGATCTAGTATTCTGCTCCCAAGATGTTTTCCTATCTAAAATATTACATCTATCCAGTGTCCATGATTCACCTCAAGTATGTACCGAGATCATAACTAAGCTATAGGCTCTAAATATTTGTATTTACAGTCTTCAAAAGGGCTTCCTTGTTGTGGCTGAAATTATGTGGGCAGATAGTAGCAGAATCAAATATGAATAGATAATGAAAAATATTAATAGCACTCACCATTTATTAAGCATGTGCTATTTGTCAGATTTTTTCAGTCTTAAATAAATTATTTAATCCTCACAAAGCCTCTGATATTTTTAGGTACTATTATTTCTTTCTCTCTTTTTTTCCTATTCTTTCTTTCTTTTCTTTTTTTTTTGAAGTGCTGGAGATGCTAGCCATGCCAGGCACTGACCTACACCCTAGTCCAATCTTATTTTTTAGGTGGAGGATAGTTAGCCATATATGTTGTAAATTGTAAAGTTGGGATTTAAACAGAGCTTCTTGTACTCCAGTATCTGCAATATGGCAATATAGAATCTTTCAGATACCAAATCAGTTTTTCTTAACTTTTTAGGGAAAATAACTCTAATTCATGGCTAGAAGCAAATCGTCTGTTATCACCAGATGCTTTGTGCTATTGTCCATTAGTGAAAATTAAAATTATGTGGTATATTTGCACTCTTTAATATTATTATCATTATTATTATTTATTTTTATTCTAATTTGTTATATATGACAGCAGAATGCATTACAATTCATATTATATAGAGAGAGCACAATTTTTCATATCTCTGTACACAAATTAGAGTCAACACCATTCATGTCTTCATACATGTACTTAAGGTAATGACGTCCATTCATTCCACTGTTTTTCCTACCCCCAAGCTCCCTGCCCTCCTCTCCCTCCCCTTTGCTCTATCTAGAGTTCATCTAATCCCCCATCCTTCCCCACACACACCCCATTATGAATCAGAATCCTTATATCAGAGAAAACATTTGGCATTTGGTTTTTTGGAATTGGCTAACTTTACTTAGCATTATATTCTCTAACTCCATCCATTTACCTGAAAATGCCATGATTTTATTCTCTTTTAATGCTAAATAGTATTCCATTGTGTATATATATTACATTTTTTATACCTTGTTCTTGGATAGGAAGTATTATTTTTAATAAATGAACAATTACACACACAAAGTCATCAATGTGAAATATAGAATATATTAGTGTGATCTGAAGACTCATTTAAAAGTATGTCAAGAGATACATTTGTCTTGTTTTTCTTTTTTTTAATATCTTTATTTTTATTTGTTTATTTTTACTGTGGTGCTAAGGATCAAACTCAGTGCCTCACACATGCTAGGCAAGGACTCTGCCACTGAGCTACATCCCGGGCCCATGTTTTTCTTTAGTTGTAAGACTTCTTATTAAATAGACACCATGCAGAATGTCTATTTAAATATATTTTCAAAAAATTAAATGAAAGATTATTTAATAAGAGACTAGTTTATTTCAAAATTAATATTATAAAATCAAAAGTTATGTTCATTATCACCTCTCCTATTCAACATTGCATTGACTGTCTAATAATACAAAAAAAATTTACTATTTATTATTTATTTTAATTATCATCTTAGTTTAGTTGCTATAACAATATCAAAGGATTCAGGTGTCAGCATATGAATTTGGGTGGGGGGTCAGGACACAAACTCTCAGTCCAGAACATTCATTAAAGATTATTAAAGGGCATATATCTGAAGGGAGGGAGAAGGGGAATAGCAAGGATGGTATGAAGATGTGAATTTGGTGTCAACATACCTTATAACATACCTTATAACAAACAGAGATATGATAAATTGTGGTATAAAGGTGTATTAAGAATCGTAATGCAAAAAAGAGAGAGAGAGCTCATGTATAATGGCATAATTTGGCGTGAACATACTTTATATACAGAGTTATGAAAAATTGTGCTGTGAATGGATAATTATGAATGTAATGCATTCCACTATTGTCATGTATGTAAGAAATAAATAAAAAAAGGGCATATATCTGATCTGAGAAATTAACTGGTGTGTGTATTGACCTGATTTTTTGATGCAAAGCAAATGAGCCATTTATGTGTTGTTCAGGGATTATTACTAAAGAAGCAGAATATCATTGTGGAAAGATCTGGGATAAAAATTTAGATAGCTGAGATCTAATACCAAGCCGAATATTATTATTATCTATGAACTTGGATTTGTTACTTCCTGGCAAGTATGGTCTTGGAGAAATTACTTAATTATATTCTTAATTTCCTCATATGTAAAAAATATAGATAATAATAAATGTCTCAAAATTCTATTGATTTAGTCACATGTTCAGAAAGATCCACTTATGTCTTTCTGGGATATGGTGTGAATGATATTAAAATATGTCATTAGAATGAACCTTTCCAGTTCCACTCAATGTCAGATGTTTGTTCTTGGCATTTCAAGATGATTGACTGAACCAGTTGCTGCTTCTTTAACAGGTGGATTTTCAGAAAAGACATGTGACTGGAGTTCAGAAGAGGAGGAGCCAGTGAAAAAGGCAGGACCTGTCCAAGTCCTCATTGTCAAAGATGATCATTCCTTTGAGTTAGATGAAGCTGCATTAAATCGGATCCTTCTCTCTGAGGCTGTCAGGGACAAAGAAGTAGTTGCGGTATCTGTTGCTGGAGCCTTTAGAAAAGGAAAGTCATTTCTGATGGACTTCATGTTGCGATACATGTACAACCAGGTAGGGAAGAGGTTCCTTAGAAAGTTTTCTTGTTTATATGCTTTTCCCACTTTGTGTTTTTATTTAGTAGTGTTTGATATTTCTATTGCTATTATTATGTACTCTAAGTATGTACCTAAATACAAATGCTATGAGTGTAACCATTCAAACCTCAGTATTTTAGGGACAAGCTACACAGACCACTTGTGTCTGAAGCTACTTTGCTGCATTTCCCTGAGCATATAACTGAATATTTTCCTCTTTTAAACATGGACATTAGCATAATGATATAATTATGAACTTTACATGCTACCATGTTTAAAAGCCAAATAACTTTTGCCATAACTTTCGTATCATTATAGCTTTCCCCCAACATTTACTATGACATTTTTCAAGTAGGCAGCAAAGCTAAAAGAATTTTACTGTGAACACCTGGGTACTCACCACCTACAATCTTCCATTAACTTTAATACCCTTGCTTTGTCATATATGTCTCCATCTCTTCATGCTTCTTTCTAACCATCCATCACACCATCTTATTATTATTATTATTATTATTATTATTATTATTATTATTATTATTTGAGAGGAATATGTTGCTCAGGCTGGTCTCAAAACTCCTGAGCTCAAGTGATTGTCCTGCCTTGGCCTCCCAAGTGTTGGGACTACAGACTACAGATATGTACAACTGTACCTAGCTCATCCATCTTATTTTTTGATAAGTTTCAAAGTAAATTACTGACATCAGTATGCTTTCCCACAAATATTTCAATATATTATTTATATATATACATAATAACTAATTCAGTTTTAAAATTTTGAGATAAAATTAACATACAATGAAACATATAAATCTTAAATGTTTATTTGCTGATTTTTGACAAAAGCATATTCCTGTGTAATTCAAAACCCTGTCAAGATAAAACAAAACAAAACCCTGTCTAGAAAAACCCAGAAAGTTCTACCTCTCCCAGTCAGTTCTCATCTAACCCCACCCCCAGAAGTGTTATAGTATTTGAGAAAACAATGTGACACAGAAATGAGACTTTAAAGGGACCTAGAATAAACCAAAAACAGAAGGATAAATAAGAGATTTAAGTTGAGAAACAGAAGATTGCGAATGGAAAATATTCTAGTTTTTTTTCCTATCGTTTTACCTGGAGTGATTCTAATACATATATGAATGTTGAGGTAGAATAGAAACACTACAAATAACTTCATTTTATGTATTTAATTTTAGATTGATCTTTATAGATGAGTTATTTTTAAAACAATCATGTGGTATTAACTTTAACACTTCCATCTCTGACCTCAATTCAAACAAACCAAAGACAGAGCTACTAAAATAATTCAGGCTTTGAAAGAAAGCAGAACTTTTACTAATTCTGATTTCTGGCATACCAACAGTAGTATGCTACTTAATTGAAAATTTGAATCAACAAAATTAATATGTTTTCCACTTTTGGATTCTAGGCACATTTGTAGTTATGATTATTAAACATTAGAATGAAGTACTCATAGTACCTGTTATGTTGCTTATGGTAAAGATTGTTTGCTTGGACTGAGTGTGCCAGATCTGTTTTCTTTTCCTGTTTTTTTTAATGGTACTGAGGGCTGAACACAGGGCCTTATGCATGCGAGGCAAGTACTCTACCAACTGAGCTGTATCCGCAGCCCTGTTTTTTTTTTGGTGTGTGTGTGTGTGTGTGCCTAGTAGAGGAGCATTAAGAAAGCATGACAGAATATGAACACTTGTTTTGCTGTTCCTTGCACAAAGATATGCATCATTTACTTGTGTAGGCCAAATTCTACTTCCATATTTGCATGTATAATTATCATTCATATTAGAATAGCAAAATTCAGTTTTGAATGTAACAATTTGTGTTCTTTTAGCAGAAAAACTGTTGTTAAGCTCATCCCATACTGGAACATAGTATTATTATTTATTAATGTAAATTATTTTATTAGAGCTTTGTAATAATATATAGTAGTTGAGTTCATCCCAACAAACTCAAACATGCAGGGAATTCATTTTTAGTTCATGAAACTCGACCTTTTCCCTCCCATTCTCCCTCTCATCTCGTATTCTCCTTCCTCTATTCTACTGGACTAACTTATGCTCTTCTATTTATTTATATTTTACTGGTTCTTTTTATTTATATATAAAGTAAAAGTCCTTGTGGTATATTTATATATGCATATAACATGATTTTTTTAAAGAATTAATTCTTCATTGCTTCCTCTTACCCATCCCTCCACTCTGCCTCTCCATCTCCTCCTTCTACATCACTTATCTTCCCTTTATCTTTATGTTATCCTACCCTTCTCTCCCCCTTTCCTTAATTTTACTCTAGTTTTTATATATGAGATAAAACATTCCACCTTTGAATTTTGAGTTTGGCTTTCAATAATTTTTGAAGAAATATATGAATACGTGCCTGAATGAGTGACATTAGCTGAATTTTATTTCTGCAAAATTAACTACTGGGGCTGGGATTGTGGCTCACATTGCATATAAATAAATAAAATAAAGTTCATTGACAACTAAAAAATATTTTTAAAAAAGTAACTACTTGGGGTCATTTTCTTTGTCATTAAAAATTATTTTTGAAGCTTAGAGTTTTCATAAAGATCTTAAGTAAATCATTGACTTAGCTAATGTCACAATAATGTTATTAGTCTTTAAATTGATAATCATAATTTATTCATTGAAGTATACATTCCTAAGACTCTTTTTCTGACAGAATTAAGATACATGCAATATTGAGGGCATCACAAAATGCCAACTTTTATATTTCTGAATGTAGTTCAGGTAAAGGATATATCTGTATGGGCAGAAATTATCAGGGAAGGTTTCATAGAGATATTAAGATTTAGAATAGACTTTGAAGGTGTACAAAATCTGAATCAAGAGAGAGGGAAAGAAGAGACATTCTAGGCAAGAGGAATGAGTATATTTGCATTAAACAGAAGGTATACTTTCCTTCATAAAGTAGAAATTTTATTGTATTGGAGATGAAGGGGAAATAAGAGTAATAGGCTGGATAATAGAACCAATGCATGAAAGAACAAAACTGAGCTCTTTATAAGGGTCTAAAATTGCTTTACAGAACAAGATGGATATAACAAAATAAAAATTTTCTTTATACTGGTTTATGAGACTTCTTATTAAATCAAGTAATCTACTCCCAAATTCCTCTGCATTAGTATTTTTTTAACTACAGTTAATATGAGGTTTTAGATTTAATGATTTTCCAATGAAGTCTTCCAAAAACTAACAAATTATTGTCTAACAGATATAAAAATGAGTATAAATAGTTATTTGACTACTTGCTTACTAAGTATAAGGGATACTTTCTTTTCCTTGTTTTATTTGATCTTTCGTCCTTACATAATTAACAGTTTATTCTATTCTCTCTTCCTTTGGCTTCTCAGATCCCCCTTTATCTGTACCCTTCTATTTTCCCCCACTGTTCTCACTCTGTTAGGTACTCAATATTTTTTAAAAATATTTATTGTTATGTGGTGCAGAGGATTGAACCCAGGGCTTCGCACCTGCAAGACAAACACTCTATCACAGAGCCCTGACCCTCAATATTTTTGACCTTTATAATAACCCCCCTTTGTCCTTCCTAATTATCATTTCTCTTCTTTATTCATTAGTCCTTCACTCCTTATACAATAATCTTCCTTCCTTCCTTCCTTCCTTCCTTCCTTCCTTCCTTCCTCCCTCCCTCCCTCCCTCCCTTCCTTCCTTTCTCCCTTTCTCCCTTCCTCTTTCCTTCCTTCTTTCTTTGGATGCCTTCTCCAAGTTTGCTCACCTGAAAAATTTCTAAATATTCTTCAAATATTATCTCTTCTATGAAGTCTTTCCTGATCAAGAGTTAGTTATTCTGTTTCCTATTATTCCATTGATGCTTTATTTACATGTTCATTTTCACATGCATGTATTATACCAAAATGGTTTGTTAGCATGTCTGTCTCCCCATTAGGCTATGAGCTTCCTCTAGTCTGAAACGGTATCTTTTCATTTTTGTATCCACAAAACCTAGCATTAAATGTGGCCAGTGGTTGTCTTCTCTGTAATTGTTTTTTTCTTTTTTAGTGAATAAAGTGTATCAATGCAATAAATGTGCACATGTTTCTTTTTGACTAGAGTTAGAGATAAAAATTGGAAAGGATGAGTGAAAAAATTTTACATACATATCCAGGTATATATGATACACTTTATTAAATTTATAGGAATCAGTTGATTGGGTTGGAGATTACAATGAACCATTGACTGGATTTTCATGGAGAGGTGGGTCTGAACGAGAAACCACAGGAATCCAGATATGGAGTGAAGTCTTCCTTATCAATAAAGTTGATGGTAAAAAGGTATGATACCAACTTTTTTTAAGTAAAATTGAGCTTATACTTAACAGTAACTTGAAAATGCTCTTTTGAAAATGAATTTTGGCCATTTGACATGAAACTTAAAGGGGAGTGTAGCATCCTATCGAATGATCCTTGTTTACCAATTTAATGATTATGGTAGGAAAAATCATAAGAACAGTAGGACATCGATCAGCAAGCCATCATTCATACTTGTTTCAATGCTGTATTAGGTTAATGTTGGATCATCAGTGAAAATTATTACAATAATAAGTAGCTAATTGATACTTTGATTTCCTGTAGTATTCATGGCATATGTAAGAAGTTACCTATTAAGTATTCATTGATAATGATTTCCTTTAGTTCTTATGGTGTTAATGTTGGGGTAACTGTAATAACCCTGGATGTTCTATATTTGCTTATAGGTTGCAGTGTTATTGATGGATACTCAGGGGACCTTTGATAGTCAGTCAACTTTGAGAGATTCCGCCACAGTATTTGCCCTTAGTACAATGATCAGCTCAATACAGGTATGAAATAAATTCATTTGGGTGAGTATTTCTTTAGCTAAAATTTATAATGCATGTATTTCTACAGACACTTGGCAGTGAGACAAACAACAGAAAAGGTATATTAAATGTTAAAGAGACCTATGACACTCAATTTATCCTTTATATTTTACAATTTGGGAAAATGAATTTGAAAATAAATAAGTGGCTTGATAAAGCTCATATATGTGACTAAATTAGTGGTAGAATGGGAATAAAAGTCAGGTCATTGACTGGGCCGAATGCTCCTTTCCATCTCCAATTAGCATACCAATTCTTGTAAGAGTAGAATTGTTTTTGTTACTGTAATTTAATTACTGATCAGTTTTCAATTGACTGCTTTAACCAGAGGAAGTTTTTTTATGTTATTGATGTTCTTTTTGCTTAATGCCTCAATACACTCAATAATATTAAATCTTATAACATATGCAGATATTGTGATCAACTATTATGTTATATTTAATGAACAAGATTTATAAACATAAAATTTTGTTTTACATAGCCAGTGGAAATGTTTTTAAATGTAAAAACTTTGTGTTTATAGCTTTTTAAAACAACTTTATATACATTTAGAATGGTAAATGTCTTTATTTAAAATTTTTCATCTTCCTTTCCTTTTTTCTTTCTCTTTCTTAAAGTGTTGTTTCAGGGATTATAGTAAGCTTTCTAAATTGTGCTTAAAGTTCTTGGAGAGTTTCATTATAAGCACAGTACATACAACATAAAAGATTAAGTCTATTTTTGTAGAAATTTTCTGTTCAATGGAAAGAGCAGAAGAGGGTGGTAAAGAAACAGAGAAGATCAATTTTTAAAAGGCAAGGTAGCTTAAAAAGGCAGTATACTTAGGATGAGCAAGTTGGAGCTGATCACATTCCAGTAGAGAGTGGAGCTAGTGACGGATGGGTGACTAGTGACTATCCTCTTAGTACAACCGAGAGAGGACAAATAGGAGGAAGGAGGAGAAACCAAGTTAAAAAATGATCGATGCTTTTAACAATCTACTCCTTGAATGAGCTTTTAAAATACTAACTTAGTATCTATTTTCTTTATAATGAACAGTAAAAACCATCATACAAGCCAATAAAAATTATATTGACTTGTTCTTTTTAATATTTATGACTTACTATATATTTTAGACCTCAATAGAGTAAATATTTTCATAGAAAAACCCACTAAATTCTTAGTAATAACTGCTTTTAATTATTATCTGAGAAATGACCTGTTACTTAAATAAGTACACAAAGGATACTGCTTGCATTAATACATAAATATATAAGCATATTTAACTTTTCTTTGAAGTTTTTGACATTTTTGACCAAAAAAAGAAGTCATGTTGATGCTGTGATCTGTTTATAAAACAATACTACAAATGTATAAGGATATTCAGACAAACTTCTATGTGATGGAACTTTATAAAATAAAAGTAAACAAAATAACAAATTGTGAAGAAATCAACATCTTTTCAGAACACAATTTTCCTTATGGGTTGTTCAGATTTAGCACTATTTTTAACACCATTATTTTGGCGTGCTTGGAAGAATTGTTATTTTATTGAGTAATTGTTGAATTAAGTTCATAAAATAATTTTAAAATTCTGATTCCAGAGCATGTGACTCTTATATTTCTGCAAAATTTTTATATCACTGCACATTGTTTATTTTCTCTCAAGCTTTCTTAGTCCTTTCTTATAAATGTCATCGAATAAAGATGTATGTAAGAGAGTTAATTTTTGTAATAATTGATGTTTATCAAAATAGAGAATGACAGAGTAAGTGCTTAAGATTATACTGATTATCCTCTCATTTTGATTTCATAATCAAGGTATATAATTTATCCCAAAATGTCCAGGAGGATGATCTTCAGCATCTTCAGGTAACAATATTACTACTTTTTGTTTATCTGGGTAGGCTTTGGGCAGAACTTTGGAGAATGGTTTAGAAACATAACCAAATGAGGGTTATCCTATGTTCAAGTTTCTTGTTTTTTTCTTTCTAATTCAGTTTTCAAATTCCTTTGTTTCCATAAAATTACTTCCTACCATTCTTGATTATATGAAAATATATGGCAAATTAAAATAGAAAAGCATATTCAGGCTTAAAAATTACCTGAAATGTGAAGTTAAAGTCTTAAGGTCAGAGATTTGATAATTGATGGTAAGATATCTGTTATATGCTAGATTTTTTGTCCTGTGGGCTGTTAGAGGCTACCTTATAATGACTCACAGAATTCTATTTTAGATGTGAAAGAGATCTTGTGACACTCAGTTTATTCTTTATATTTTATAATTGGGGAAAATGAATGTGAAAATAAATAAATGACTTGAATAAACTCATATATATGATTAATTAGTGATAGAATGGGAATAAAAGTCAGGTCATCTGACTGGGCCCAATGCTCCTTTCCATCTCCAAGTCACACTTGAATCTTAAGTAAAGGATCAGATGTTTCCTAGAGATAATTCTCATTTCAGTAATAATTCCCATTCCCTTCAATTCATGTTATTTTTGTTTTGTATTTTATGACACCAAGGATTAAACCCAAGTGCACTTAACCACTATGCTGCATTCCCAGCCCTTTTTGTTTTGAAACAGGGTCTTGCTAAGTTGCTTAGAGCCTTGCTAATTTGCTGAGGCTGGATTTCAGTTGCCATCTTTCTGCCTCAGCCTCCTGAGTGACTGGGATTACTGGCATGTGCCACTACACCCAGCAGTTCATGTTATTTCTTTTTTTCTTTTCTTTTCTTTCTTTCTTTCTTTTTCTTTTCTTTTTTCTTTTTTTTTTTTTTTTTGTGATACCAGGAGCACTTTACCACTGAGTTACATCCCCAGCCCTTATAATTTTTTTTTTTTTATTTTGAGACAGAATTTCAAGAAGTTACTTAGGGCCTTGCTAAATTGCTGAGGCTGGCCTCAAACTTGTGATTCTCCTACCTCAGCCTCCCAAGTCGCTGGGATCATGTTATTCTTGAATAGATAGCAAAACTGTTATTTTGCTGACAGTTTTCCATCTTCATATTTTAGAGAAAAATGTGCTTTCAGTATGTAATATTATCTTGGCAATCAGAGCCATGTAGCAAAATGTGAACATTTAACAGATACAAAGGATGATGGAGCAAAGTAACATTGTAAATAACAGTTGGAGTTTGAATTCAGTATTACTATCAAATATATTTCTAGTACATCACAGTATGACAATTAGGCAATACTCTGACTAGTTGAATAGATGCTTCCTCATAAGAGAAATTACTTCTGTGGACATATGCTGTAACATAGCCAATGACTTTATAAATTAATTCATGGCACTGTCAATACCAGTTTAGGCGTTTCCACAAATCATTAATTTTAGACTTTAATATTAAGTAAGAAATAGTTTTTTGAGGTCATTTCAAATTTTCCTGTAAATGACGATACCTCAGCCTTTCTCAGAAGTGATTACAAATTGAAATTATACTAGTACATGATTCTAATGAGAGTGTCTAATCCCTGGACCGGCTGCCTTTTAGACACATTCCATCACTCTCATCAGGAACCTAGTAATTACCATTTGCTTTCCAGATTCCCACTGTTCCCACAGGAAAGACAGCTGTGGGCTCTATTCTGAAGGGGCGAGGATAGGAATCTTGTGTGTTGACATTCTTCCCCAGCTCCAAGAAGCCACGGACATCTTTGTCTTGAGTATAAAGTAGTGTTTCCTCTGTTCATATGGGAAAACCATTCAACCTGTGTGGATGAAACTCTCCTCAGTGGAGGCCCTGCCACAGTTACCTCCTCAGTCTACATTCTCCAAAATATTGCATTTCTGGCAGTGTAAAAACTTATATGATGGTGTCTCAGGGTCTCAGCTGGGAGCAATACAAACTTAGAGAAGGCAGTTTATTCGATTATCCACTTGTTAAACAAAATACCTAATGCCTTTGTAGCAGTCCAGATTATTGTGTCTTTAAATTTCCAGAGGTGACAACTTTTATAAATGTATCCTACATAGTTATGATTCCCTAGTCTAATCTTATGTCAGTTCTGCTTTGAAAGGTCATTTGACATGTTTCCTCTCCCCTTTCTTCTTTCCAAAGAATTGTCCTATATTCTAGATATAAAAGGTATTAGTTTTAGGGCTGGGGGTATAGTTTAGTGGTAGAGCACATTCTTAGCATGCATGAGGCCCTGGGTTCAATTTCCAGCACTAAAACCAAAAACACACACATACACCCCCCCCCAAAAAAAAAAACAACAACACACACACACACACACAAAGAAGAAAATGTATTAGTATTAAATGGAGGTATAATTTTAATTGATACTTTAAGTTCTTAATTTTTAATATCTAATTACTATAGCTCTGCTTTATCTAATACTAATTTCCTAAAAATGATTACTATAATCTTAATAAATGTAGTATTCTGTTAACAGGTGAAAAAAATGAATGAAAGAAAAACCTTACAAATACTAAAGTTTTCTTCCTCTCTCTCTCTCTCTCTCTCTCTCACTCACTCACTGTGATTTTTCTTCCAGCTTTTCACTGAGTATGGCAGGCTGGCAATGGAGGAAACATTCCTGAAGCCGTTTCAGGTGAGCGAGGTTTGAATGATGGCAAATTCTTACTGGATTTTTCTAAAGACTATAACCAGGTATATTTATTAATTAGGACCATGTTTGTTTCTTGTTTTCTTTATTTCATTCAAAAAGCATTTTTGAATATCTATTTAATAATTTTAGATGTGAAGAAAAAATAAAAATGAGAAAGTAAAAAGTTGTATTTCCTACAAGAGTATCAACTTTTCTCCCCTGAACTCAACCCTACAGGAAAAGTGATAAATTTGTCCAACATAAAAGCTAAAAACCAATTCAGAAATCTGGAGTGGCTGAGCCATGTGTTACTTTGGCTCTGGGTCTCTCATGAAATTGTACTCAGGCTCCTGGCCAGGGAGACATTCCCTGAGACAATAAAAGGTAGTTCCTGCAAGCCACAACAAAATCTGAGCACCAGAGAAGATATGGGGTGGGGAATTGGAGGTGTCCTTTGCTTTCTCACACATTAACCTGTTCCAATGCCACTGAGTAGAATAGCGACCAACTCAGCCCCTGCTGGGGACAGCAGGCCAACTTGAGAACAGCTTCTGACCTTGGACTGAGTAGTGTCAGTCCGTTTTGTACTCTCTTCTCAACCTACCCTGTCACATATCAAGAATAAGAATGTTACAATGAAGCCAGAACCTTGAAAAACAGAACCTAGAGGTGGTGCAGATTTACACATCAATGATTGTCCATCTCAAGCATGATTCCTTCAGGCTAAATTTTTCAGAGGGAGGTCAAAACTACCTCTAGAGTTGAGATTCTCTTTGCAGATGCACATCACCAGCCAAGACAGGTCATAACTGGAGGGGACTCTGATCATACTGGGAAACTGAATGATTAATAAAGGGTAAAGTACAATTAGCAGCTCTAGTTGCTAGTAATTTAAATGAGCTGTATAGTTCTCTATTGCTGCATAACAAATCATACTCAAACCACAAACTTTTATTATCTAAGACAGATCTTGAAATTCAGAAATCTGGAGTGGCTGAGCCATGTGTTACTTTGGCTCTGGGTCTCTCATGAAGTTGTACTCAGTCTCCTGGCCAGGGAGACATTCCCTGAAGACTTAACTGGAAGACCTGCTTTCACGCTCACTCTGTTGATGGAAGCCTTTAACTTCTTACCACATAGACATTTCCACAGAATACTCCTCTCCAAAGCAAGTCACCAATTAATTCTGAGGGAGAAGCTACAATATTTTTAGAAGTAACACACCATCAGTTCTGCCATATTCTATCAGACATTCAGACCAAACATGGCATAATATGGGAGGAGATTAAACAAAGATACAGCATCAGGATGCAGGGATTTGGGGGAGTCATCTTGGCTACCATATGAGCATATTAATTATTCTTAAATGAGGGATGGATGTCTTGTGCTTCTAGTAATAGAAGATTAGCTAATTAGGATTAACTTTCTTACAATAACTGAAAAACCTCCACAGAAATTTACAAATTTGGGGCTGAGGTTGTAGTTCAGTGGTAGAGCACTTGCCTCATATGTGTGAGGCACTGGGTTCAAACCTCAGCACCACATAAAATAAAAATAAATAAAGATATTTTTCCATCTACAACTAAAAAAATATTTTAAAAAAAGAAAATTACAAAAATGTTTGAATGAATAAGAGTATTAATAAAAGAGTTAAAAAATATTGAGATGTAGATAATTTAAAAAATATTGAGATCTAGAGAGCTCATGTATAATGGCATAAAAACTAAAAATAAAATAAAATAAAAAAGAATTAATAAATAGGATATACTCAAATTTTAAAAATAAATAAATAAATAAAAATAAAAAATAAAAAATATTGAGATCTGAGGGAAAATAGGGGCCCATGAGGAAGAAAATGACAAAGAGAAAGTTAATGTGATTATATTAATATGAAATGAAGCAAACTTAAAGAAAAATAATTACTAGAGATATGAGTTTTTTTACTAATGCAAGAGTGAATTATGAATAAATGAATTTTTGAATATGTAGCAGATATAAACATACATTGTTTATCTATTAAATTATTTATTAAAGTATTAGAAGAAAGTTGGAGGCAACCGAGGTGTGACCATCTCTGGAAGAATGGATAAATAAAATGTGGTGGAAAGCATACTCTGGAATACTTTGTAACATCCAAAGGCAAAGAACCAAAAGTACATAGAGTTGTATGATTAGAGTGTTAATATTCATACTGAATAAAGAGGCAAAAAGCATGAGATATGTAACATGATACTATTTATTATTTTAAATACTCTCATATACAAAATAAAATATTAGCATGGATGGGGGTGGGAAAGGATGGGTGAAGATTAGGAGAGTAGATCTGGGAAAAATATGATAAAATATAGCAAGAAGGGACCTTTTCATGGAAAGATGATGGTATGCTGTGAATGAAGGAGCATGAATTTCTCCCCTGAGGTCAAGAGAATGAGGCAAGGGAGGAGATGAGATAGAAATAAAATCTGCTATATGGTTCATAGTACCTAGTAGACTCTGTTATCTTTCTTTCCAAATCATTTGATAGTATGGCAATTGGACTATCACTTTGACTTTTCTCTTAACTTGGTACTGTCAGTACCGTTGACATATATGGGTTGGAAACACCATTGTAAATTCTAGAAAGGAACTTTAGGTCTCACCAGCAGGTGTCACTGCTCCTTATCCATTGGCAGATACACCAAAAAGACTAACTAATGCTCTGATAAAATAGATAGGAGGAATAGAAATACTGCCTTTGGTAAAAAATGTTCATGACCTGAAAATGGATAATAGGAAACGCTTTAAGATATCACCACTTGAGCTGGGCAAGGTGGCACATGCCTGTAATTCCAGTGGCTCGGGGAATTGAGACAGGAGGAGTTCAAAGCTAGTCTCAGCAAAAGTGAGGCACTAAGCAACTCAGACCCTGTTTCTAAATAAAACACACAAAAAAACGGCTGGGGATGTGGCTCAGTAGGTGAGTGCCTCTAAGTTCAATGCCCGGTACCAAAACAAAACAAAACAAAAAAAAGATATTACCACTTGTAAGTAAACTGTTGGCATTATGAAATGTAAAGAGTTTTGCCTGAATTTTTTAGTTGTAGTTGGACATAATACTTTTGTTTTATTTATTTATTTTTATGTGGTGCTGAGGATCAAACCCAGGGCCTCACACACACTCGGCAAGCTCTCTACCCCTGAAACATAACCCAGCCCCTCCTGAGTTATTTTAACTGAAACATCAGTAGTTTTTTTTGTTTGTTTGTTTTTGTTTTTTAAGGAACCCAGCAGATTTGTATGCATGTTATAGTTTGAGAAAAACTGCGTCTAGCCCAGACATTCCAGAGACAGCTGATCACAGAATCACCTGGTTAACTGAATACAAACAGCTTTCCTGGCCCTTCCTCTAGAATTTGATCCAAAAGGTCTGGGGTGGAAGTCAGGACTCTGTATTTAACTAGTACCAGAGGGGTGTCCATTTCAATGAATAAATGAGTCATATAAATAAGTAAAAAAAAAAAAAAGAGTTTTGACTGAATCAACAATGACTCCTGAGCAGGTATAGACTTATAAATCTAACTATCTGAAATTGAAATGAGAAACTGATAATGTAGTAAAAGTGATGTCCAAAGCCATTTAATAATATTTGAAATTAAAGCAGCCAAATTCAAAACAAAAAAATTCAGCAGTGCAGAAAAACTGATAGCTTTTGAATTAAGGATTAGAATTCATGGAATTTATATGTAATAAATGTAAAGTTTATGAATCATCTTGGGATGGGATGGAAGTAGTGAGTGTGCTATAGCTCACTCGTACCAGTCCATAAGAATCAATTATTAAATATTCAGGAGTTACCTAAGCCAGTTTTAAAACCATTAGTAGCTGGAAATCCTCCACAGTTGATGTATTTTCTCCACAGAAACTGGAAACTACAAATCAAGACTTTTTTTTTTTTGGCCACAGAGTTTACCAGCATATCATTGGGTAGAAACATCAGGCAGGGAACTTAGGACCTTGAACATTAGCATTCATCTCATGGTTACTATTATAGGTTGCTAATTTGAAAAAAAAAAAATAAGACTTCCTATTTGCTTCTGTTCTACACATGGTCCTCATTACTTTGAATAGGGAAGATGCCCAGTAGAAAAGAGCAAAAAACGAGACTGAAATCTCCCAAGAAAAATGCAAAATATAGCCAAAGCCACATACTTGGTTTCATTTGTCCTGGTTCATGAACCTTTATTTTGCAAAAGTTGCTTGCTAGCTAATTTCTATTTTCAAAATACATGTTTTAGGTAGAGATATTTCAAATACAAGTTATTATATATTGACAAAAATGAGCATCTGTTTAAAGTTGTAGATAATTTAAAGATAGTACATATGGGTATTTTTAGTTCTCCTCCTTACAAAACTCTTTCCTCTCTCACCCTCCAACAAAAATTCACAAAACAAAATAGAAAAGGAAGGACAGGCTTCATCTTTGTAAAATAAGAAATATTCATAATCACACACCCAGAAGTGTCCTTGTGTAAGGAAAGATGCAACCCAAGGATCTTGTATTGACTTACAGGTATAAAAGGCCCAAACTGTTATGAAAATGTAAGAATACAAGGAGTAGGCCAGGTGCAGTAAGTAGCACACACCTGCAATCCCAGTGACTCTGGAAGCTGAGGCAGGAGGATCGCAAATTCAAAGCTAACCTCAGCAACTTAGCAAGATCCTGTCTCAAAATAAAAAATAAAAAAAGGTCTGGGGATATGACTCAGTGGTTAAGTACCCCTGGGTTCAATTCCTGGTACCAAAAAGGAAAAAAAAGGAAGGAATATTGCTCCTACCACCCTTTAATGAGAAATCTACTAAAGAATGAATTTCACTCAGAGATGATACAAGGACTGGGATGAGCATTAAATGTATATTTATTTGTGGAATTAGGACCAAATGACAGATAAAAGTGAGAGTGCATCTCACTTAATATCTACATTCTGTAAGTAAAGAATAAATATATTTAAAAAACAAAATAATAAGGGAGAGTGTATGCTAAATATTTTTAATAGTTTTATTAAATATTCTTAGTAGCTGATGATAGTATTGGTGGTGTTACTCTGAGGTTGTTATGTATGTATTATAGCATAAAACAAAAAAGTAATTATGGGATATCATAACTCAATCATTCCCTATACCTAACCAAGATTCTTGATTCAGGATTCTTGGGCAAGGAACTACAGATAGAATATAGAAGTTCAGTGAAAATCTTGTAGCTCTGTATTTAAGTATTTGAATTGGAAATATCAATATGAATTAGTGAGATATTTTATCAATATATATGATACATATACATACACAGAAAATTATATCTAGCTCTGTCCACTGAAAAGACCTAGAAACAATGACTAATTTGGTAGCACTTTCAGAATTAAAATCTTGAAATTACAATTTCCACAGGAAAAAGAAAACTACTTTCTTAGAAAAATGCTTGATTCTTGTATGGGGTAGGAAATGAACTTGGAGCACCTTTTAAAAAAGAAGTATTATAAAGACATGTTAGTTATGTTTCTGGATTTACAGAATAATATGGGAACACATATTAGTAGCACAGATATAAATTACCTTATAATCTCCACATAAAATTCATCATATCTTTCAATGTTTATTGTATTTTAAACATTTATACTCAAACTGTTATTTTAGTTATAACTTAAAAAATTAATAGTAGATGGAAGGGGAAAATGATAAGAGGAAGTCTGGGAACACACAGTTAAATGTGAGACAGATTTTAAAAACATGACTTCAAACCAATTAAGGAAAGGCAGACCAACCAATAATTTTGTGCATCTACATTAGGATGAGTTATAATTATTTGTGTAATGGAATATTAAGCAGTGATTACTATGAATAAGAAAAAATTATGCAATAATATGATGTATTTCACAAGCATAATGTTGAATGAAAGAAGCCAAAACTAATCTATGCTTTGAGAAGTCAGGATAATTGTTACTCTTGAGTAAGGGGTAATGACTGGAAGAAAGCAAAAGGGGGTTGTGGAGTGATGGATATTCTGTTTCTCGATGTAGGTGCTGGTTACCTGGAGTGTTCACATAGTGAAAATTTGTTAAGCCTTGTAATTATGTGTGTAGTTTTCTGAATGTAGACTATATTTCAACAGAAGATTTAAAAAGTAAACATATATCTCCCAGGTTGATGGTTTCCAAAAATATTTTTTCTTAATTTCAAAAGAATCCATTAGAACTTCCTGTGGTAAAAACACTTAACTTGAATTTCAACAGTATTGTAAATGCCATCTCAATATCCTTTTAAAAAGTATATTTAATACTTTTTATTTAAAATGTAATGTATGAAAACCTCATTTTTTAGAAAAATTTACTTTTTATAAATTTTTTTTCCTACCCTACTCCATTGTACACATACTTTCACCAAATGTTAACTATGATTGCATCCAGACAAGACTTGGAATACAGTTTAAAATTTCTACTATGGACTTTGCTATATAATTTGAACTTTTTGTGATAATCTACATAACTGTTTCTATGAAAACATTACAATAATTTAAGAAAGAAAAGCTAATCTTATGCCTATGTTCTGCCATAGCTGTCAAAAAAGGAAAGAATAAACTTTCCAGTTCCTTCACAAGAACATAGAAACACTCTACACAACTTGATTATATTTACATAGCTTCATTCAGCCAGCTTGAGTTATCTCTGACTCTCAGCTCTTGGTGGGATGTAGTCATGTTGGCAGTTAGTAGGTAGCTTTCTGTCTATACTTAGCAGAAACATGTAGGATGATCTCATAAGTGAGGGGATGCTCAGAAACTTCCAAAAGTTTTGTTTGCTTTTTTAATTCCACAGTGTGGTAAAGAACACTATTAAGGTAACAATGATATTATAATTGGTTTTAATAAAAACCAAGGGAGGCATCTTAAAGTCCCTTTATCAATTTTTTCTTAATATTTTTTAGAGTCTGATATTTCTGGTTCGAGACTGGAGTTTCCCATATGAATTTTCATATGGAGCGGATGGTGGTGCAAAATTCTTGGAAAAACGCCTCAAGGTTTGTTAAATATTTGGGTACATGGAATTTTTTTCACCAGTAATAAAATAGAATTATTTTTGTTGAGCCATTTGTTAAATATACTCAGTCGCCACAATTTCATTTAACCCTCATTGTATCTCTATTAACAAACTAAGACCGATATTTAAACAACTATTCAAAGAGTTATAATTTAAAATATTACCAATAATTTTGAAACAGATAATTCTTTTGTGGCTATCTATAAAAAATCACTCATTATTTAAGATCAAGATTTTACTTTGAACAACTAAATCAATTCATGACTGATAGCATATCTAAGTTTATGTTTTAGTAGAGGTTTAAAGAAATGTCTAACTTTGAATCTCCAAAGTCGATTACAATATTTTGCTAATAGTTCACAGAATGTGAAATTAAAAGGTCTTTCACTTTCTATGTCATGATATTTCAGCATTGTAGATATTATTTACATTGATCAGATATCACAAAAAATATCCCCTGGGAAATCAAAGGAGAGAATTGAAGTTAAAAAAAATTCCTTGAATATCAGGATCTCTAGGCTTGCCTTTTTAGATTTATAGTTACTTTAGAGTAGTTTGTCTATATTATACACTTGTCAAATACATGTGTAAAAAAGGGAGTGGAGGATATTTGGGCTTGTAGATAAACACCGAACTATTTGGATGCCTTTCAAATTTAAGTGTGTGCCTATCAGGTGACAGAACGCTGTCTTAAGTATCTTCTGAAAAAAAGTATGACCATCTTACAGTCTACTTGTGTCTCTTATGAATACTTTGAATTAAAATATGAATTTGTGGGAACTAGAGTAAAACTCCACTAGTTTATATTAAAACATGGGAAGCCCATCTGAGCTAGCATAAGGGCAATGGCTTTTGAATTGTAATAACTGTGCCATGTGCTTGCTATGCTTAGGTATGGCTATGTGGACAAATTCACCAAAGACTTTTTTTTCTTTAATAACAACCCCATCTTTTTTTTCCATTGTGGGACCAGACAGACATAGCAAATATAAGATGCCATAGAATTCCTTTTTTTCAATTTAGATTGCAAATAAGTTTAAACTTCAGAATGATTTACTGCAGGTCTCAGGGAATCAGCATGAAGAACTACAGAATGTTCGAAAGCACATCCATTCCTGTTTCACCAACATTTCCTGTTTTCTGCTACCTCACCCTGGCTTGAAAGTAGCTACCAATCCAAACTTTGATGGAAAACTGAAAGGTTTGTTTGGTTTTAAATGAGTATGTTTTCATCACTTAGTCTGATTATAAAGATGTCATTTTACCCACTGGGATTATGGCCACTACTTTCACCTATCCAGTGATGTCAGGTTGATGAGATTAGAAATTGCCAGAATTGGGAATCCCAGGCTGGGATCTCTTCTTCAGTCAACTTTAAGAGTTGATAACACTGAGTTTGTACACTGCCTGCACAAACAGACCACATTTTGTGTTCACCAGGAGGTAGTAGTCCTCACCCTCCCATTTCTATGCACTGAGGAGTGTTCCTTAATGTCTTTATGCTTAATTTTTCTTTCTTTTTAAAATTTTTTAGTTGTCAATGGATCTTTATTTTATTTATTTATATGCACATGCTAGGCAATCACTCTACCACTGAGCTACAACCCCAGCCCTATGCTTAATCTTTGTCATTTCCATTAAAAGGGGAAAACAAGTGCCTATATTGTTGGAATGTTGTATTTATTAAATTGTGTAATTAGAGATCAAAAGAAACATTGCATAGTACTGAATTTAGTATTTTAAAACTATTACTAAATAATTTAATTATAAATTATAAAAACTTTACTAAAAATGAAATTTTCTCTGGATGAGGACCAGTTTCTGAAAACAAAACAAAAGCACTAGCGTGTTTTTAAAATAGTACCCATTATAAGATGTAATTATCTCCTTAACAGAAGTTGATTGTTCTGTGATTCCAAAGTAGCTCAACTTGTTAAAAAAAGAAGAAAAGAGAGGGGGTATGGAGGGAGGGGTCTGTAGAAACCGAAGTTAATTTTTCCTTAGAAAAATTAACTTTGTACTATCTCATATAGTCTTTATATATATGCTTTGCAGTTAATATGAGATAGTACAAAGACATTTATGATTTTTACTTATAAGCACAGCCTTGTGTATATCACTAAATTTAGGCATTTGTTTTATTTACTGTGGCCTTTCTCCTTTGTGCCAGGGGAGAGAGAGTAACAGTACAAAATTTTCAGCACAATTGTTGTGAAAGGAATTTTAAATTACTTTTATAAACGGGCCACATAACTTGTATTCAGTTTTCAGAAATTTGGATATTTAAAAAGTAAAATTATTTCCCCCTTATGAATATACATGGCATTTAGTCTCAGAAACCTTATATTTAACTTTAGCAATTAATACCATAAATAGAATCTTCAATTTCTGAGTTGTCAACATTGCTTTTATACACATTTAAAATTTTCACCTTTCTATAACAGAACAGATAGCAATAAGCACATACTAACACACAGATGTCCAGATCTTATAAATTTACTGTCACTCATGAATTCTAATACAGTAGTGAACACACAGACCAGTTATATTTTGTAATTACCTAATGGCTTTGGTGTGTTTTGAAAAAAATTACATAAAGAGAGCGCTTCCACAAAGCTTCTCATTCTTCTCTGGAGTTGGGAGCTGTAAACAGGCAGAGGAGGGGCAGGCCTTCAACAACAGTCCTTTATTGGTACAGAAAATACTCTAGCTTATTCCGTGACTGTAGTATGCAAAACACTTAGATTAATTGATGCATTTTGCAGAGAATGAGTTCAGAGAAAGTTTAGGACAAATCAAGCAAATATAGATTCCTATTTTTTTAATATATTTGTTCTCCATCAAATTTTATGCACATTTATATCTCTACATGTACACTGACCTACACAATGGGTAGGTCATGCCAATACCAATTCTCACATATTATTTCACACATAGAAATAACATTCTAGCTTATTATGAATAGTAACAACTGTTGTAATTACTATTTGTTCATGATCCCTTGCAGCATTGCAATCATTATCTTACTATCTCCAGTGTAATTAAAAATGTATATTGAGTTTAATTGCTTTTAATGTAGAAGCTTCCTACATTAGAAATCAAGAGGATCTAAAACACTGAATCATGTTCATTCCTGCTATATTCAGCTAGCTGTGAGTGACTCTTTTGGTCACAGCAAGGAAAAAACTGACTAGAATAATAGCATTGTTGTGTGAATTAACCAAGGAAAATATTTTCTATGCTATTATTCTAGTCAGTTTTTTCCTTGCTGTGACCAAAAGACCTGACAAAAATTAAAGGAAGAAAAAAGTTTATTTGGCTCACCATTTCAGAATGTCAGTCCATAGACAATATCATTGCTCTGGGTCAGAGGTAAGGGAGAACATTATGGCAGAAGGGTATGGGGGGAAAGCAACTCAGGACATGGCAACCAGGAAGTGGAGAGAACTTCGTTCACTAGGGACAAAATATAAACCCCAAAGTCACACCCCAGTGCTTAACTCCTCCAGCTGCACCAAACTTGCCTACAGTTATCATCTAGTTAATCCATATCACTGAATGAATTAGATGATTAAGGCTGTCATAACCCAATCATTTCACCTCTGAAAATTCTTGCATTGTCTCACACATGAGCTTTTGGGAGATACCTTATATCTAAACCACAACTATACTGGTGCATCTGTTCTATGGAGTTATTATAAAATCTGCATCATGCATCAGTTACCAGTAGTGGATATTTAGGCAAACTACCACTGAATTCCTAGCAAAGTTTTAAGGCAAAAAATGATGAAAACGTAACATTATCCTGAGTAATTATGCACCCACACATATTTATTGAATGTATACAAGGGCTAAAGCTTATTAGTACCTTTGGAAGTTGATCTGAACTGGTCTACAGATGTTTTGGGTCATGGATTCACTGTGGTCAACTAATATTTGCAAGAGGTCACTACTTATGTGTGTAATCAGTACATTGTTCTTATTTTCTGAATCTAATATTGGAATACCTAGCACTGGTCTCAGAACAAAGATAGCTAATGCTATCTTTAGAACAAATTTTAATCCAAACGTATTGTTATGTGCTGGTTATTTTAATGGTAATTATTTGCTGTTTCATTAGATACACAGATATTATCTTATATCATTCCAATTGTAAAAGAAAGTTAACGGGGAGCTAAATGTATGTTTGAAAGTGATTTTAAACTGGATTTACAAAAAGAAAACTTTTATACAGAAATTCAGAAAGAAGTCATACATTTTAAATGTATGGCAATAGTCTATTAAATCTGAAATAAATATAAAATCATATAGCTAAAAAGAAACCTATTTGTATTAAGGTATAGAGAGATATATGGCAGGAAACAAAACAAGAAGGTGGTAAGATAAATACAAATAACAGGATTGCATTCCAGTGAATACTATTAACTAAAAAGAAAACCACAATACCTTTGATTAAATCCATATATGGTAAAAAGCAGAAGTATTAATGAAGTTGGTATAATGCAAACAGCTAGATAAGTCTGAATAAACTTAGACAAATGCCCATAAATCATGGGCACCAAATTTCAAAGTGATACTAAGTAAAACAAAATAAGTTTGAAGGAGCCAGCATTGTGCCCAGGTGTGTCATAAAAGCAGCATGGTGCAGTGGCACACACCTGTAATCCCAGCTACTAGACCCTCAGCACCTAGTGAGACCCTGTCTCAAAATAAAAAGACTGGGGACATGGCTGAGTGACAAAGTGCCCTGGGTTCAGTTCCCAGTATTGAAAGGAAACACACATACACACACACACACACAGACACACACACACATACACACACACACGGAAAAAAAATGTAAATGCTAATGTAAAGTGACATTTCAATGTACATTGGGGTTGTAATAGCAGGGAACGTGCCAAACAATGTCAAGGTTTGAATATTTATCCTTAAGACCTTGAAAGTCATCAGACAACCCTATAACTTGAAGATTCAGTAACTCTGCTAAAATTCAGATTTTTTTAAATTATAAGCAGTAAACTGCATTTTCTTAGATAAGGAACTGGAACTGGGCATGCCTTGTTTTTATACAGATTGTGTGCATGTTTCCACATTTTGGAAATAATGATTTAAGAAATTATTGCTGTACTCAAAAGACTTCTCTGAAGTCTATTTTCTGTTATTTACTTAGTCTGTATTCTTAAGCTTGAACCTACTGCAAACTCAGACTACATCTGACCTGCTATAAGGCTGTGATGGCCTTTCTTACTGTTATTTCATATTGCTGAATTCCACCACTAGAGGAAGCATCGTGAACACTGTCTTTTCGTCCTCCTTATGACAGCTTACCCAGCTCTACGTACTTCTCATAAGGACATATTAAAACCCAGCAATTTTCAGTTTTGGGGGTACATTTTTTGAATGAAAAGCCAGTAAATATCTGGCCTTTCCTTATTTTTATTTTTTATTTTTGAGGCAGGGTATGAGTATGTTGCCTGGGCTGAGTGAACCTGAACTCCTAGACTTAAGGGATCCTCTTGCTTCGGCCCCCATCCCCTGAGTAGTTAGGACTATAGACAACACCACCATATCCAGCTTCACCACTTTTTTCAACCTTTATAAATATAACCATAAACAAGACTTAAAGACTTTGGAATACATGAAATGTTTTTATGAATGGGCTGTAAAATATATGTTTAATGTTAAGAAAGCAATTTTATAGGTAAAAGATAATGTAAACACATAATTGGAGTGGAGATGAGAGAAACCAGTAGTGGATATTTAGGCAAGGAGAAATCATTTGTCCCTAGAAGAGCAGGTTGCATGAGTTGTTTAAATGGTGGGAAAGTGAATGATGAAATGATCACTGGGGAAGAAATGAAAGCAGTGGAGGAAATCAAAGGATGTTTTATTCTGTGGCATCGAGGACTGGATACGATTTTTAAAATAATGGATTTGCTTTTACTTGCAGAAATAGATGACGAATTCATCAAAAACTTGAAAATACTGATTCCTTGGCTACTTAGTCCTGAGAGCCTAGATATTAAAGAGATCAATGGAAATAAAATCACCTGCCGAGGTCTGGTGGAATACTTCAAGGTATCACTCTCATTTCTAGAGCACTTGTGAGTACTTAGATTTGACATGTATTGGAATGTATTTCCTACAAACAAAAATATAGACTCTAATATGGGGGCAGTGGTATGAGGAAGCCATACCAAAAATTACAAAATACTCAAGAAAAACTTGCTTTCTGATAAACTTTTTTTTTTAAAGGAAACTCCTTAGGGATAACTTTACTTTCCTCTTTTATTTTAGGGGAAATGTATTTTGAAAAATGTATGTTTCGAGGAGTTGAAAAAAGTCTTTTTGTGGGGGGAGGGGTATTTTCCCAGGGTCCATTGGACCTATACTGAATTTTACCTTCATTCTGAAAATTTTTTTTCAAAGGGGCTATACCTTTTACTTAAAATTCTTTCACATTTCTGGCTCTTTGCACTGAGAACCAGTTTGAAGTTTGCATTTACTTGTTTACATCAGCACAGAGTGCTTTTTACCAACTCACATACTGTGTGGAGAATTTGAATCTGATTTGTGGACTGACGCTCTAAGACTAAAATATCAATTTTTTAAATTCATATTTATGTTAAATGCTATGATACACCTCCTGAAATGTTATGATACACTTCCTGTGTGATGGACTTAATCATCATCATCAATATCAAAAACGATGTGTTATTGTTTACCTAAAATTTTTATTTTTACTATAACACTGTGCAGGAGCTTACAATTTGGTAAGAGATTCAGGACCCTTACACAGACTGTTCCATAAAGCTTATGACAGTGGGTAACTGAAAAAGGGAGGTTTAGTCCCAGTAGAGATCTGAGACAGTTTTAAGGGAGATGAATTGAGGCTTGAAGAAGGGTAGAACTCTCTCCATCCACCTCCCGCCACCCCCCCTCAAAAAAAAAAAAAACCCAAGAAAACGAAAAGTAGGACATGAAGAGATGTGTAAAAACACCATTTTAGGAAAAGGGAACAATATGAGCTTAAAAAAAAAAAAGCTACTTAACAGTCTGAGAAAGAGATCATAGCTATAAGTTCCTAAAAATATTTTTTGAAATGTCAAGACCTCAAAATACAACTTAACATAATTAGAGAAATGCTGAATAGAATTGCTTGATCAAGAGTCTTTTTCTTTTTCTTAGGCTTATATAAAGATCTATCAAGGTGAAGAATTACCACATCCCAAATCCATGTTACAGGTATTTATTAATCTGGATGCATGATGTTTTAGGATGTTTTAAAAGATACTTATCACTAAAGCTAATCTTTCCACTTATATTTATATGTGTGCCAATCTATTTGTCAGAGATTACAAATAAAAATATTGGATAGAATAATTTACTGGAAGATCATTTGCCTAATAACTTGTGCTCATCTAAATGTTTTCACATACACATACTATTGTTGAAATGCACTTTTTTTTTTTGGCATACTAAGGATCCAAAAAAGTATACTTTATACCAAAGGGTTTTCATCTCTGTACTAAATTTGTGTAGCAGACTCATAATGTCTTAGAGTCACAGATGTAACTAAAAATAGAAAATCAAGTCCAAGTTTTTTAAAAATATTTTTTAGATGTTGATGGATGTTTATTTTATTCATTTATTTATATATGGTGCTAAGAATTGAAACCAGTGCCTCACACATGTGAGGCAAGCCCATCTACTGCTGAGCCACAAGCCCAGCCCCAAGTCCAAGTTTTAAATGAGTGATTTTCATAGTTAAACATTTTTTTAAAAAGGAGAAACTGGTTTTTGTTATATTAAAAAATTACAAGTTTCCTTTTTATTATTAACGATACTATTAGCAACAGTCCTAAAACTCAAGACATTTTTAATATATGAGTATGTTTAAAATGTTCTGTTATTTCCCATACGTTTGGGTTTAGGATTCCAGCTTCCTAATCCTGCATTTCTATAACAGGCTAAACATATTTTTTGAGAAGTAAAATCTTCAAATGAAAATTTATTTTAGAATTATAGTTTATTGAGTAAAAAAATCAATGTTTTATGCATCTTGAAACATTCATTTTTTTATTTAAATATGTAGAGGAAATATGCAAAAAGTTTCAAATTATTTTGCAACCTTGGTTCCTTTGCACATTTCTTGCACATGATGCTCTGAAATGTGAACTGCCTGTGGAACTTTAATAAATGTCAACTCCATTTAAAAATATAATTTGTGCTTTTTCCAAAGGCTACAGCTGAAGCTAACAATTTAGCAGCTGTTGCAACTGCCAAGGACACATACAATAAAAAGATGGAAGAGGTAAGAATTAAATAATATTTTAAATAAGATCAGTGTTTCTTCATTGAATTCATTCTTTTTTCTCCCATATCACATTGTATTCTCATGCAGTAGTTTTACTTATTTTTCTCAGGCTAGGTGCACCACACATCTAGTTATTGGATTCCCAAAATATTTTAAAAGAAAATTATGCATGCATAATTTATTTGAAAGGCATTTTAAATGAGTTGCCTCTATTTATAACACATCTCTATTCACATTTTATTTTGGCCAGATTTTCCCATTATTTTTAAAACCAGTTGCTAAAATAACATGTAGTGTTCTTTCCACCATATCCCCTTATATTCTGTAATTTCAATATTTCTCTAAAAGATGAAACTTTGTAGGAAATAAAGAAATCAAACCTAAAGGACCAATATTACTATATGCTATGTTTTCTCATTTTTGTTTTAACTAATGTAATAGGTTTTATTTTCCCATAAAACGTTATAAAATCATAATTACATTCAAAATTGATGAAATCTTAGAATCAGGGGAAATACAGTCTATGAAATGGTATTTTATGACATAAGGACAATCAGATAATATTCTTGAATATAGTTAAATATTAAATAACCAAAGTGAATGACATGGTTAGCTGAGATTTCCCTTGTAACTTTTCAAAATTTAAAATGTGGTCCAAGAACATTAACTATGTCTCTACTTAGTCTGTGGAATACTCAATGGGCCTCCATTCAAAGAAAAATCAGTTAAATTGCCAGAGAAAATGTATTTCACAATTTTACCTCAGAGATTTACAGCAACGATTGTTTTAAATTAAACTTCACTAATCAAAATTACTTCAGTATAGTTAAGATTTCCTAGAGGAACTGGGACATAAGCAGTTTTCTTGGATTTGGCTTACTGCTACAAATGAACTCAGTTTGCACTTCATATTAGGTCATGCCTTTTCACCTTAGGGTCTTGGATTAAATCATGGATAGTAATTCCCATGTTGAAAAGAGAATAAAAATTAAGAAATTAAGATTGACATTATTATATAAGCCACTTATAAAAATACCAGTCACACTTAATAGTTACATGCTTCAGAGATAGGTAATGCAAAGATGTGGACTGACAGAACATATGCATGCTCCTTCTGAGAAATTACAGTCATGTGTCACTTAAATACAAGTATATTCTGAGAAATGCATCATTAGGTAATTTTGTCATTGTGCAAACATCATAGAGTATACTTATAAACCTGGACATTATGGTCAACTCAGTGTGGCCTCTTGATGCAACACAGAGACACAAGATATATGAGGCTGTTGCTGGTGTAAAGTGGAATACCTTTTACAGTAAACATTTTTATAAATAGAAATACAGCCTAAAATAATTATTTAAAAGTATAGTAAATACATAAATAAGTAAACATCATATTTATCATTATCAAGCATTATGTGCCATACATATTGTATGTGCTACATACAAAAGTATGACTGACAGTACAGTGTGTTGTTGACACCAGTATCACCATAAATATATGAGTAGTGAGTAGTGGGTTGCATTAAGACATTGAACTGGCTACAGTGTCACTAGATGATAGAAATGCAGTCCATCATAAAGAAATATTCTTGGGTAACATGACTGAATTAGTATGTTCTAAAAAACCCAACTAGCTAAGTGAAAACTTTTGATAATATTGCTAATTTACTCTGCATTGTATAAACAAATACTTGTCTATCTGATTCAGATATGTGGTGGTGACAAACCATTTCTGGCCCCTAATGACCTGCAGACCAAGCATCTGCAGCTTAAAGAAGAATCTGTGAAGCTGTTCCGAGGAGTGAAGAAGATGGGTGGGGAAGAATTTAGCCGGCGTTACCTGCAGCAGTTGGAGAGTGAAATAGATGAACTTTACATTCAATATATTAAGCACAATGATAGCAAAAACATCTTCCATGCAGCACGCACCCCAGCCACACTGTTTGTTGTCATCTTTATCACATATGTGATTGCTGGTGTGACTGGATTCATTGGTTTGGACATCATAGCAAGCCTATGCAATATGATAATGGGACTGACCCTAATCACCTTGTGCACCTGGGCATATATCCGGTACTCTGGAGAATACCGAGAACTGGGTGCTGTAATAGACCAGGTGGCTGCGGCTTTGTGGGACCAGGTAGGAACACTTTTTTTTTCAATTAAATTCAGCACACATTTAAACATCATCTGTGTAAACAGGCACTGCAGTAGATGTTGGAAATATATAAATGAACATGACTTGGGCCCCAGTTTTCAAACTTTACAATCTGTCAAAATACAACAATTGGGCTGGGGTTGTTGCTTAGTGGTAGAGTGCTTACCTAGCATGTGCGAGACCCTGGGTTTGATCCTCAGCACCACATAAAAATAGATAAATTAAATAAAAGGTATTGTGTCCATCTACAACTAAAAAAATATTTTAAAAAAATACAACTAACCACAATATAGTATGTGAAGTCCTACACAACAGTTTTCCAGTTAGCATTTCAATGTTTTTGAAAAACACATAGATTAAATAATATATTTTTTTCTCTAAAAATGTTAAAAGTTGTTAAAAGAAGTAAAGCAGTTTTTTATTTAGCTGATTATGACTTTTATGTGTTAAGACCCTTAAAAGCTATCATTTGACCAGAACTGGCTTTATTAAGGGCATATATGAAACACTATTGCTAGTCATTTTTTTAGTGTAAACTCCTGAAGACAATATCAAAATTTCTTAGATTGACTTTTACAGCAAGCCATAGCATCAGCCAGTGGTCAACCTCTGGATTAGCTGCTTATGGGTCAGATGTCTGTTATTGTTCAATTAGGAAGTTAAGACCACTGTGATACATTATCTAAGTCACTGATTATGGGCATAAGAGATCATTATACATCTGGAATAACGACTCACCATGTCATTCTCTAAGTGTGTTTGTTATTCATAAAAATTTAGGGAAATTTAGGGAAGTTAAAGTTGAGATTCTACATAAAATTTTGGATTTAAGCCTTATGAACATTTGTAGTCTATAGCAAATAAAACTTACAATTCTAACAGAATTTTAATTAATGGAATTAATGTGTACCTTTGAAGAATCCAGTTGAGATAAACTAAGGGGAGCACAGTGGAAAATGAATGAAATAATAATTGGATCCTCTGAGTTACCATGTTTCAAATAGTCTGTCCCCTACCAAAGGTTGACGATGTACTACTTCAGGTAAATCTCAAAACCCTTCTAGAGTAAGATACTGAACCCTATCAAGAATACATAATTAAGTTCTTCAAAAGATTCTGATTAAAATATGTAATCTGAAAAATTTGCAGGAGTGTTTCTTAAATGCTCACAAATTAATATTATAAACAAAGTTGAATATCATAATGCTATTAATGAAGCAAGACATATACTTTTCTTTTCTCCTTTTAAAACTGCCTTTGCCACAGGGAAGTACAAATGAGGTAAGTTTTTTTTTTTTTTTTTCAAATTAAAAGCTATATATTTGTAAAGAGTATGAGTCTTATTTTATAAAGTGACTATGCATTAAAAATATTAATGTATATTAGAAAATATTTGATAACTACTCTTATGTCTAATATTTAAAATTTTAATATGAACTTTTAATATACTCCAAATATTATATATGATTTAATCTGCATACAAAGAACTGATCATCATGAGAGAATATTTGATTTATTTCCTGAATATATGGAAAATTTCAAAATTCTTATGGTATATAAAAATAATACATTCTGCTCTACAGCAGAGTGAAACAAGTAGTTATGACACCTGAGTAAATTTAGTCACCAAATGTATTTAAACGCTACAACTTTTAGAAGTTGTTTTTTGTTTGGTTTTTAAATTTATTTGTTATTTTGAGATATATAAGTTGTTTTTAGCTTTAGCTTTTGAATGACATTACCCATATGACTCTAAGCAGGTTCCAAGCCAGTATGCATTCTAACTTTCTTGATGCATCTTAGATCTAGCCTGTAAGTTAGTGTTCACTTCTCCTATTACACTCCTATATGTGCTTACTATATGTATGAGGAAAGAAGCTAAGCTTCCAGGATGAAATAACTTTTCACACTATGAAAATGATCTCTGTGGTCACTGACTTCAGGAAATGAGCTAATCTTGAGTCAACTACCAAGACAAAACATCATGCTTTCCTCAGTTTCTATTGTAGCATATATAACTGGATTATATCCTGTAATGAATTCCCAATGACACACTTAATAATTTACAAGTCAAGGAGTTATTTTATATAAAATAATAAAAAAATTCACTAAAAAATTTTTCGACTCTGTAAATCAAACCTTAAGAAGAAAATCTAATATTTTAAGAGAACTGGTATTAAAATTAAATGCATTAGAACATAATAGAACTAAAACAATACCATGTTGCACTAACATATTCACATAGAACTGAAAATATTAATAGAATTTCTTAGGAACAGATGACTATTTAAAGGGTATCAAGCTTTTACCCAGCTCTTAAGAATATTCAAAGACTTTTTACAGACTCCAAAGGGATGAAATTAAGACAGGTCAGTGGTAACTGAGTGTTAAGTATGTGAAAGTCAGAGAAGGGGATGAACCTTACACACTAGCTTAAGGGACAAAGAGATATTTGTGGACACTAAAATAAAACAGTATACACTATGCAAATATTCCTATGATTCAAACACTGTTAGCAGGATACAAGGAATAATACTCTAGAGGGGTGTTAATATGGAAAGGCTTTTCTAAGGTAGTATTTCTGAGTAAGGTTTTGTAAAATATGAACTAAGTAATGGAAACAAGGAAAGAGATCATGTGAAGTGAGGGAGTCCAATGTGGGAGGGCTCGAACAACAGAAGTGCTTAGCTGCATGACCACATCAGGAGATAAAGGAGAATAAAATTGGTCCCGTTCTGGGAAATTTATTTTGGAAGTCAGAAATTTTGAGCTCTTATAATTCATCTAAAACCAGTAATATTCACAAAAGTGATAACACATGCTGGAGAGTTGACAATATTTGAGTTCTAATAAACTCATTATTAATTTATATCCTATGTAGAGTGATGATATAAAGGTTTCAAATCCAACATTCTAAGTTTTTGTATTATCATAAACTAAACTAAAATGGAAAAACTTTACACCTCTGTTTTAATGTTTTATAATCTTGATTCTTACATTCCAGGCTTTATACAAGCTTTACAGTGCAGCAGCAACCCACAGACATCTGTATCATCAAGCTTTTCCTGCACCAAAGTCAGAATCTACTGAACAATCAGAAAAGAAGAAAATTTAATCCAAAATTTAAAATACAGGTGCATGACCAATTGTCAGTTAAATATTGTTTTTTGGTTCCATGCAATCATTCAAAATGCTTCCATCAGAACAGTAAAATACCAAACACCTCTGAGGACTGCAAAATGGTTTTGTTCTTTTACTCCAGTGTTTAATAAAAAGATGTATGTATGCATGGTTATATCATTTTGTTAACATGTACAGTTTCCTGATTTTTTTCTTTAAATATGCTGTTATAATTTAAGGTATTTGTATATTTATGATGACAGTACAAGTGTTCTGCTTGAATTTACTAAATTCTACTACTGGGTTATAATTAAACCATGCAGTGATATTACTCCATGTATGGATATGCTCATTTAATTTCTACAGAAAAGATTTAAAATTATTTCATATGGCTATTTCTTTAAAAATACAGCATCATAATTCAGCAAGCTTGATTTATCTACCTAATCTTACACATACCACAAGCTCTTAATTATTTTTAAATACAATTAAGGGCTTTTCAGTTGCTTTACCAAAAACTATGTATTGCTTTTTATATTATGATTTAATATACAATGTAAACCACTTGATCAACAATGCACAAAAAATCACTTTGTATATGTATTTGAGTTTCACTGTATTGTATATTTTTTCATTTGTTACATAAGAAATGTATTCTTCACAGGTTTATTCTTTTAACATGTGAACTATTAAAGTTTACTCTGATTCCTAACATTAAAACAAATGCTTACTGAATTTGGAAATGGTTGGGTGGTGTTGATATAGAAAGATAAAGGTTTCTCTCTTTTTTAAAAACTTCAAGGTACATTTTCTTTATTGTCCATACCATTAAAAATTTAAGTTTCCATTTTAAGAAACATGCTAATCTCTTTAGGTACCTTCCAATCCTTTTTTAAAAAATTATTTATTTATTCTAATTTGTAATACATGACAGTAGAATGCACTTCAATTCATAGTACACATATAGAGCACAATTTTTCATGTCTCTGGTTGTATAAGGTAGAGTCACCCCATTTGTGTCTTATTGCTAGATATGAACATTTTTTCATATATTTGTTGATTGATTGTATATCATCTTCTGAGAGAAGTGTCTGTTCAATTCCTTGGCCCATTTATTGATTTGGTTATTTGGTTTGTGTGTGTGTGTGTTAAGATTTTTGAGTTCTTTATATGTCCTAGAGGTTAGTGCTCTATCTAATGTGCATGTGGTAAAAATGTGCTCCCATTCTGTAGGCTCCCTATTCACCTCACTGATTATTTCTTTTGCTGAGAAGTTTTTTAGCTTGAATCCATCCCATTTATTGATTCTTGATTTTATTTCTTGTGCTATAGGAGTCTTGTTAAGGAAGTCAGTGCCTAATCTGACATGATGAAGATTTGGACCTATTTTTTCTTCTATTAGGCACAGGGTCACTGGCCTAATTCCTTGGTTCTTGATCCACTTTGAGTTTTGTGCACGGTGAGAGATTGGGGTAATTTCATTTTGCTACATATAGATTTCCAGTTTTCCCAGCATCATTTGTTGAAGAGGCTATCTTTTCTCCAATGTTTTTGGTACCTTTGTCTAATATGAGATAACTGTATTTATGTGGGTTTGTCTCTGTGTCCTCTATTCTGTACCACTGGTTTACAAGTCTATTTTGGTGCCAATACCATGCTGTTTTTGTTACTATTGCTCTGTAGTATAGTTTAAGGTCTGGTATAGTGACGCCACCTCCTTTACTCTTCTTGCTAAGGATTGTTATGGCTATTCTGGGTCTCTGATTTTTCCAGATGAATTTGATGACTGCTTTTTCTATTTCTATAAGGAATGTCATTTGGATTTTGATTGGAATTGCATTAAATCTGTATAATGCTTTTGGTAGTATGGTCATTTTGACAATATTAATTCTGCCTATCCAAGAACAAGAGAGATCTTTCCATCTTCCAAGATATTCTTTAATTTCTTTCTTTAGCATTCTGTAGTTTTCATTGTAGAGGTATTTCACCTCTTTCGGTGACTTCCAAGTATTTAATTACTTTTGAAGCTGTTGTAAATGGGGTAGTTTTCCTCATTTCCCTTTCAGAGGATTTGTCACTGATGAACAGAAATGCCTTTGATTTATGGGTGTTAATTTTATACCCTGCTACTTGCTGAATTCATTTATTAGTTCTAGAAGTTTTCTGGTGGAATTTTTTGGATCCTCTAGGTATAGAATGATATTGTTGGCAAGTAGTGATAGTTGGAATGCTTTTCCTATCCATATCCTTTTAATTTCTTTCATCTAATTGCTCTGGCTAGAGTTTCAAGAACTATGTTAAATAGAAGTGAAAGAGGGCATCCCTGTCTTGTTCCAGTTTTTAGAGGAAATGCTTTCAATTTTTCTCCATTTGGAATAATGTTGGCTTAGGGCTTAGCATAGATAGCTTTTACAATATTGAGATATGTTTCTGTTATTCCTAGTTCATCTAGTGTTCTGAACATAAAGGGGTGCTGTATTTTTGTCAAATGCTTTTTCTGCATCCATTGAGATGATCGTATGATTCTTATCTTTAAGTCTATTGATGTGACGAATTACATTTATTGATTTATGTAAGTTGAACCCACCTTGTATCCCTGGGATGAACCTCACTTGATCATGGTGCATTATCTTTTTGATGTTTTTTTATTCAATTTGCCAGAATTTTATTGAGAATTTTTGTATCTATGTTCATTAGATATATTGGTCTGAAATTTTCTTTCTTTGAGGTGTCTTTGTCTGGTTTTGGATTCAGGGTGATATTGGCCTCATGGAATGAGTTTGGAAGTGTTCCCTCTTTTTCTATTTCATGAAATAATTTGAGGAGTATTGGTATTAGTTCTTCTTTGAAGGTCTTGTAGAACTCAGCTATGTATCCATCTGGTCCTGGGCTTTTCTTGGTTGGTAGCCTTCTGATGGCATCTTCAATTTCACTGCTTGAAATTGATCTGTTTAACTTGTGTATATCATCCTGATTCAGTTTGGGCAAATCATATGACTCTAGAAGTTTGTCAGTGCCTTTGATATTTTCTTTTTTATTGGAGTACAAATTTTCAAAATAATTTCTAATTATCGTCTGTATTTCTGTAGTGTCCATTGTAATAGTTCCTTTTTCAATACAGATGTTAGTATTTGAGTTTTCTCTTTCCTTCTATTCATTAGCATGGCTAAGGGTTTATAAATTTTTTTTTTCAAAGAACAAACTTTTTGTTTTGTCATTTTTTTCAGTTGTTTCTTTTGTTTCAATTTCATTGCTTTCAGTTCTGATTTTAATTATTATTTCTTGTCTTCTGCTGCTTTGGGTATTGATTTGTTCTCTTTTTCCAGGGCTTTGAGGTGTAATTTTAGGTCATTTGTTTGTTGACTTTTTCTTCCTTTTTTAAATTTTTATTTATTTATTTATTTATTTTAGAGAGAGAGAGAGAGAGAGAGAGAGAGAGAGAAATTTTTTTAATATTTAATTCTTAGTTTTCGGTGGACACAACATTTTTATTTTTATGTGATGCTGAGGATCAAACCCAGCGCCCCCCACATGCCAGGCAATCACGCTACTGCTTGAGCCACATCCCCAGCCCAACTTTTTCTTCTTTTAAGGAATGAACTCCATGCAATGAACTTTCCTCTTAGTATTGCCTTCATAGTGTCCCAGAGATTTTGATGTTATATCAGTGTTCTCTTTTACCTCTAAGAATTTTTAAGTCTTCTTTTTGATGTCTTTTGCAACTCATTGTTCATTTAGTAGCATATTAGTTAGTCTGCAGGTGATGGATTAGCTTCTATTTTATCACTGATTTCTAATTTCATTCCATTGTGATCTGTCAGAATGCAGGGTAGTATCTCTAATTTTTTTTTTTTTTTTTTTTTTGCTAAAAGTTGCTCTGTGGCATAATATATGGTCTATTTTAGAGAAGAATCCATGTGCTGCTGAGAAGAAAGTGAATTCACTCGTTCATGGATGAAATATTCTATATGTCTGTTAAGTTATTGATTGTATTATTGAGTTTTACAGTTTCTTTGTTTAGAAGAACTGTCCAGTGGTGAAAGAGGTATGTTAAAGTCATCCAGAATTATTTTGTTGTGGTCTATTTGACTCTTGAGAAGAGTTTGATGAACATAGATGCTCCATTGTTTGGGGCATATATATTTTAATTGTTATGTCTTATTGATATATGGTTCCCTTAAGCAGTATGAAATGTCATTCTTTATCCCTTTTGATTAATTTTGGCTTGAAGTCTACTTTATTTGATATGAGGATGGACTCCTGCTTGTATCTGCAGCCCATGTGAGTAGTCATATTTTTTCCCAACCTTTCACCTTCAGTCTGTGGATGTCTTTTTCTGTGTGTCTCTTGAGGGCAGCATATTGTTGGGTTTTTGTTTTGTTATCCAATCTGCCAGTCTCTTTTGATTGATGAGCTTAGACCATTAACATTCATGGTTATTATTGAGACATGATTTATAAACCTGGTATTTTTGTATTTTTTTTAAACATTAAGTTTTTAGTTTTAGGTGGACACAACATTTTTATGTGGTGCTGAGGATCGAACCCAGTGCCTCACATGTGCTAGGCGAGCACTCTACCACTTGAGCCACAACCCCAGCCCCTCCCTATATTCGGGATTTACCTAGACTTGGTTTCTCCCTTGATTTGTTTTTCCTTTAGTGTAATACCTCCCTTTGCTGATTTTCATTTCCTCATGGAATATTTTGCTGAGGATATTCTGTAGTGCAGTCTTTCTAGTTGTAAATTCTTTTAACTTGTTTATCATGGAAGGTTTTCATTTTGTCATCAAACCTAAAGTTTACTTTTGGATATAAGATTCTTGGTTGGCATCAATTTGCTTTCAGGGCTTGGTATATATTGTTCCAGTATCTTCTAGCTTTCAGGGTCTGGGTTGAGAAATCTGCAGAGGATTCCTTTCTCTTGTGGCTTTTAAAATTCTCTCCTATTCTGTATGCTAGGCATTTTCATTATAATGTGCCTTAGTGTGGACCTGTTGTGATTTTATACATTTGATGACCCGTAAGCCTCGTGTATTTGATTTTTCAATTCATTCTCATGTTTGGAAAATTTTCTGATATTGATTGATTGTTCAATCCTTTGGTTTGGGACTCTGTGCCTTCCTCTATCCCAATAATTCTTAAATTTGGTCTTTTTATGTTATCCCATAATTCTTGAATGTTCTGCGCATGGTTTCTCACCATCTTTAATGTTTGGTCAACATTCTTTTCAAGATTATATATTTTGTCTTCATTGTCTGAGGTCCTGTTATCTTCCATCTCATCTGTTCGTGGTGCTTTCTATTGAGTTTTTAATTTGGTTCTTTGCTTCTTTTATTTCAAGGATTTCTGTTTGGTTTTTTTTTTTTTCAGAACCTCTATCTCCTTATTGAAGTAATCTTTGCCTTCTTTATTTGCTTATGTAGCTCTTTATTGAAATGATCTTTTGCTGCCTGTATTTGCTCTTATATCATCATTTAATTCACAGAACATTTTAATTATGTATATTCTGAACTACTTCTCTGTTATTTCTTCTGTTGTGCTGGCCATGGATTCTAATAATGTGGTATCTTGGTTTGTTTGGGGCACTTTCTTCCCTTGTTCTTTCATGTTGTTCATGTGTCTTCCTTTTAGATCCACTGCGTTACTGTTTTTACCCTGTAGGCATATAGTGTTCCTGCAGGGTTCCAATCCCTGTCCTTTAAGGGGGAGAACAATATTAACAGGTTCTAATACAAACAATATGTAGCCTTAAACCAAATAGCTGCTATTAAAACATTTACGGTTTTGTCACAATATACAAAAATGGAGAGTTCAATTATTATCTACAATATAAACAGTAGGTTTGCAAAAGGGTCTACAGTTTCTGATGGTGGAAAAAGAACTGGGAGTGATGTGTAGGATGTGGTGTTGAGGGGGTAGGAGGTGAGGATACAGAGTTGTTAGATCTTAGGAAGTATGAAAGTGGAATCTAAAGATGTTGGTTAGTAGTAGGAGAAAAGAGTGATTTTGGGGAGACAAGTGAGAAGACAATAAAGTACAGAAAACAAATACAAAAATTAAGAAAAATGAAATATTTAAAAATAGGAGATAAAAGAATATACAGCACAACCATAATATACTATTAATTCCTCAGTAGCCTAATTCATGAAAAGTACTTGGTTTCACAAATGTCGGGGATGTGAAGGTGGGAGAAGAGAAAGAGGAAAAAAAAAGTCCTCGAAGGAAGATACAAGTTTGTTTTTATTGGAGATCAGTCTTTCCTGCTTCCCTTCTCATCCAATAGGTGGGGTTGTTTGTTGTTTGCTGGTATCTCCACCCTCAGGTGAAGGTCAGCATTAGGGTGGGAGGTTTGGTCTAGGGAGCTGCGCTCCTGAAGGTTGGGATATAGCACTTGCCAGTCCCCAATGGGAGACTGCACCCCAAGGATCTCCTTTGGGGCCCGCTTGTGTGATGTGGGCACCTGGTCTTATCTCGTTATATCACCTGTAGATCTCACAATTCCTGGTCTCTAATTTAGTATCTAAACTATCTCACTCACCTCCTCCCCTTCTATTTCCCAATCAATCAGGAACCTTTCTCACTGGTGGTCTTGTGGGCTATGCGCTGAGGGCTGCGCACCTGTCGCAGAGAGCTGTTTTGTATTGGGCAGTTCAAGACCAGGTTTTTCGAGCTATAGACAGCCATGTAGCTGCAAGCACTGTGCTAGGTTAGCTGCTGCCAGGAGGAGGAGGAAGTTGTGGACTATAGTACCTTGATTTTGCTTCTAATCCCCTGCCGGTGTCCCAAGCTGGGAGTTGCCCCAATTAAAGATGTTGACAAAGGTGTCCCAAGATGAAAGCAGGTGCTTTCAGTGATAGGGTGTTGGGTTGGGTGGGGCCTGGCAGTGGTGTTAGGCTGCATGTTCAGAGATGCAGCTTTGTGGCATTCAGTGTTGGCGGCTATCTCCAGACCCTGTTCGGTGTTCCCAGGTACAGGCTACCGCATGTAGGGGACTATGGAAGTGGTTACAGTGTCCCAAGACAGAGGCGATGGGGGAGCCCCATGTTGGTAGATGGGGGTCCACACAGGAGTCGCAGCTGGAGGTTCTGTGAGTGGGCAGTGGCTGGGTGTCCTGCGTGGGAGCAGCAGCTAGGATTCCTGCAAAGTTGGGCAGCCAGGAATCCTTCATGGCTCTTATCTACAAAGTCCAAACGGACTTTGTCTTATAAGTGGCTAAGTGACAAGAAATAATTAAGATAGGAGGTTGCATAAGTTCATAAGATATATCAGCTTACATATTGGAAAAATTTGATAACAGCTCAGTAAATTATCTTTTCTTATTAAAAAAATTCCACTTGCCATACTTTTAATTTTTCAACACACCTTTCATTATATTGCTTCTTTGAAGTATGGATCTTCTGATTGGAAAAACCAATCATATTTATATCTAAAATATGGATTCAAACACCACACATTTAGTTTCCACAAAAATATATTTAATAAGCTTGTTATATAAAATCAAACACTTAACATTTTATCAATAACTCAAACTGATATCTAACTAGGAGTGCTTGTATTTTGGAAGACTATCTAAACTAAAAATATATTTACATATTTACAATACAGGTATCTAAAGAGCTATGAAATTCACAGAATTCTAGAGATTTACAGGCTAGAAGTATCATAAATTTGTCTATAATCAAATTACTGTGCTAATTATGAACAATGTCTTAACTATTAAACCAGGAGGAAAATGGGAGGGAAATATATAAAGTTTTGTAACAAACACTTAGAAGATAAAAAAGGTAATATAAAATTGGTTTAATGACTAAGATTTCTTATTGAATCCCTGATTGTCATTTTTGGCAGCTTAACCCAGTCTGTCAGAAGGCAGTGCACTATGCCGTTTGGAACCCTACACTGTCTCATCAGAGCCATGCTAAATCCAATTAAGAGCTCTGGATGAAACCAAGTAGCAACTTTTGAGGGATGCACATACCTTCCCCACACAGGCTAAAGCTTCTTGCTTAAATTTATTCCTGAAAAGATTTTTCTCAACATGCTTCAAAAGGGTTCCTTACATTTAGCTGTGTATGTGTGGGGGGGCCATATACAGAATTTATCACAATAAAGATTCCAAATCTTATTTTATATTTTGAACTATACCATGGTAAAATTTAAATCATCCAACTCGGACAACATTCCACACTAAAGCAATAAACATCTTTTTAAAATACTGCATAGTTTCTCTTTCTTAAAGAAAGATACTGCTGCTATAAGGAGTTACCAAGTGATCATTTCCTTTTAAATATCCGATGGTAACATTTTTTTCTGCATATTTCTCCATCAAGATTATTCAAAGCAATTTCCTAATATGCAATATTTGAAAGCATATCATGTTGACTCTTAAAATAATAAATTCATTTCTTTTGTTCAATAAAAGAAAATTTCTAATAACAAAATATATGTAAAATTAGAACTTCCCAAAAGTAAGCTGCCTTTATTAACCGAAGTATTTGTTTGCAGTTTTTTCAACTGTGAAAATATTTTAAAGCCCTTATAAAAATTAAATTTTATTCTTAAAAGGTTAACTTAAAAATTCTTGCCATGTTGCTGGGCATACCACTGCTGTCTCTGCTTGCGGTTTTCAAGCTCAGTGAGAAGAGCCTGTCTATAAGCTTCATACATTTTAACAATCTGTTCCAGTTCTTTCATGAAGAGCAACTTTAGCATTCCCTGGTATGTATCCAGGTCAGCCAGCTGGAAGAGTTCCCATTTCAGAATGTGGTCATATCTGTTTTAAAACATAATATTCACAACACGTGCATAAACATGTATTTATTGCAATAAACTAGTCTTTTATAAACATTAACTACATTATAACTAAACAAACTATAAACTTTATAAAGATAAATGAGTTATCAACTTCCTATTTAAAAACAATATATTTTTTTTCTTTCTTTTTGAGTCAGGTTTCCAACAAGTTGCCCAGGTTGGTCTTGAACTCTTGAGCTCTAGCAATCCTTTTGCTTCAGTATCCAGAGTAGCTGGGACTACAGGTGCATGCACCACACCCAGCTCTAAATAAACTATTTTTTAGGAAAGGGAGAAAAATATTTCACTTCAAGTTAAAGAATGCTCATTTAAGTATCCATTATTCTAATACTAATATTAAACCATGAACATCAATTTCAAATAGATAGCTATGTAATTTTTCTCTGAAAAATGCATTCTGTGGTATTTGTAAGTTTATTCAGAGTTAACTGTCAGCAACTTAAGGATATTTCAGACCACACTGTGCTTGCAAATGATAATGCACAAAAAGGGGCAAAGTCATGTTTGTTACTAATGTTAATAGATCTAGTAGAGGAATTATGTTCACAACAGCATACAAGGAACAAACACAGGAGGAATGAAGAGAAACCATCATTAGCTAAGAATTCCTGAGGAATTCAATGCAAAACCTACTATTGAAAAACTCAAGAAAGAATAAACAGTTTTCAAAAATGAGAAAACAAGTAGAAGGTAGAAGACTCCACAATACGGTAAAGAACTCTTGAAAGATTTATTTACATGTATCTTTAGCTCTTTTTCAATACAGGTGAATCATATGCTGAGATTGAACTATGCAACCAATTACTATACTTTGAGATCCAGAGACAACACTCTAATTAAATGTTCTCATTTTAAAGATGAAAAAACAAACAAACCTAAAAAGGCTTTTTATCTTTTGCAAAAGCATTTAATGCTTAAGTCATATGAGCTGCCCAGATTGAGTCAGGAAGACACACACAATTTAAACAGACCAATAACAAAGGAAGAAATAGAAGAAGCCATCAAAGACTACCAACCAAAAAAAGCCCTGGACCAGATGGGTATACAGCGGAGTTTTACAAAACCTTCAAAGAAGAATTACTACCAATACTTTTCAAGCTATTTCAAGAAATAGAAAAAGAAGGAGCTCTTCCAAATTCATTCTATGAGGCCAACATCACCCTGATCCCGAAACCAGACAAAGACACTTCAAAAAAAGAAAACTACAGACCAATATCTCTAATGAACATAGATGCAAAAATTCTCAATAAAATCCTGGCGAATCGAATACAAAAGCATATCAAAAAAATTGTGCACCATGATCAAGTAGGATTCATCCCTGGGATGCAAGGTTGGTTCAATATACGGAAATCAATAAATATTATTCACCACATCAATAGACTTAAAGATAAGAACCATATGATCGTCTCGATAGATGCAGAAAAAGCATTCGACAAAGTACAGCATCCTTTTATGTTCAAAACACTAGAAAAACTGGGGATAACAGGAACTTACCTCAACATTGTAAAAGCTATATATGCTAAGCCTCAGGCTAGCATCATTCTAAATGGAGAAAAACTGAAGGCATTCCCGCTAAAATCTGGAACAAGACAGGGATGCCCTCTCTCACCACTTCTATTTAATTTAGTCCTTGAAATACTAGCCAGAGCAATTAGACAGACAAAAGAAATTAAAGGCATAAAAATAGGAAAAGAAGAACTTAAAATATCACTATTTGCGGACGATATGATCCTATACTTAGAAGACCCAAAAGGGTCTACAAAGAAACTACTAGAACTGATAAATGAATTCAGCAAAGTGGCAGGATATAAAATCAACACGCATAAATCAAAGGCATTCCTGTATATCAGTAACAAAACTTCTGAAATGGAAATGAGGAAAACCACCCCATTCACAATATCCTCAAAAAAAATAAAATACTTGGGAATCAACCTAACAAAAGAGGTGAAAGATTTATACAATGAAAACTACAGAACCCTAAAGAGAGAGATAGAAGAAGATCTTAGAAGATGGAAAAATGTACCCTGTTCATGGATAGGCAGAACCAACATCATCAAAATGGCGATATTACCCAAAGTTCTCTACAGGTTCAACGCAATGCCAATCAAAATCCCAACGGCATTTCTGGTAGAAATAGATAAAGCTATCATGAAATTCATATGGAAAAACAAAAGACCCAGAATAGCAAAAGCAATTCTAAGCAGGAAGTGTGAATCGGGAGGTATAGCGATACCAGATTTCAAACTGTACTACAGAGCAATAGTAACAAAAACAGCATGGTACTGGTACCAAAACAGGCAGGTGGATCAATGGTACAGAATAGAGGACACAGAGACCAATCCACAAAATTACAACTTTCTTATATTTGATAAAGGCGCTAAAAGCATGCAATGGAGAAAGGATAGCATCTTCAACAAATGGTGCTGGGAAAACTGGAAATCCATATGCAACAAAATGAAGCTGAACCCCTTTCTCTCGCCATGCACAAAAGTAAATTCAAAATGGATCAAGGACCTAGATATCAAATCAGAGACTCTGCACCTGATAGAAGAAAAAGTTGGCTTCAATCTACACATTGTGGGGTCGGGCTCCAAATTCCTTAATAGGACGCCCATAGCACAAAGGTTAATAACTAGAATCAACAAATGGGTCTTACTCAAACTAAAAAGTTTTTTCTCAGCAAGAGAAACAATAAGAGAGGTAAATAGGGAACCTACATCCTGGGAACAAATCTTTACTCCTCACACTTCAGAGAGAGCCCTAATATCCAGAATATACAAAGAACTCAAAAAATTAAACAACAAGATAACAAACAACCCTATGAACAAATGGGCGAAGGACCTGAACAGACACTTCTCAGAGGAGGACATACAATCTATCAATAAGTACATGAAAAAATGCTCACCATCTCTAGCAGTCAGAGAAATGCAAATCAAAACCACCCTAAGATACCATCTCACTCCAGTAAGATTGGCAGCCATTATGAAGTCAAGCAACAATAAGTGCTGGCGAGGATGTGGGGAAAGGGTACACTTGTACATTGCTGGTGGAACTGCAAACTGGTGCGGCCAATATGGAAAGCAGTATGGAGATTCCTAGGAAAGCTGGGAATGGAACCACCATTTGACCCAGCTATCGCCCTTCTCGGTCTATTCCCTGAGGACGTTAAAAGAGCATACTATAGGGATACTGCCACATCAATGATCATGGCAGCACAATTCACAATAGCTAGACTTTGGAATCAACCCAGATGCCCTTCAATAGATGAATGGATTAAAAAACTGTGGCATTTATACACAATGGAGTATTACGCAGAACTAAAAAATGACAAAATCATGGATTTTGCAGGGAAATGGATGGCATTAGAGCAGATTATGCTAAGTGAAGCTAGCCAATCCTTAAAAAACAAATGCCAAATGTCTTCTTTGATATAAGGAGAGCAACTAAGATCAGAACAGGGAAGAAGAGCATGAGGAAAAGATTAACATTAAACAGAGACGAGTGTCGGGAGAGAAAGGGAGAGAGAAGGGAAACTATGGAAATGGAAGGAGACCCTCATTGTTACACAAAATTCATATAAGAGTTTGTGAGGGGAAAGGGGAAAAAAAAAAACAAGGGAGAGAATTAAACAACAGCAGATGGGGTAGAGAGGGAAGATGAGAGGGAAGGGGAGGGGGGATAGTAGGGAATAGGAAAGGTAGCAGAATACAACAGTCACTAATATGGTATTATGTAAAAATGTGTATGTGTAACCGATGTGATTCTGCAACTTGTATTTGGGGTAAAAAATGGGAGTTCATAACCCACTTGAATCAAATGTATGGAAGATGATATGTCATGAGCTGTGTAATGTTTTGAACAACCAATTAAAAAAAAAAAAAAAAGCATTTAATGTCCAAAAAAGTTGAGAAAAGCAGACAACTACAAACCAAAAAGCTTTAGAGTAGTAGTTTTAAATGTTAATATCCTTTAAGATTAGACAACATAAACTAAAGCAAGTCACATAATATCATATTGGTATATGATATTAAAGTTATTTCTCTCAAACTATTGTAGCATAGACATAACAGGAAGCTCTGACTGCAACTTCTAGCAAATTTATTTTTAGTAACTTTTTTTGGGGGGGCGGGTACTAAGGATTGGACCTAGAAGTACTCTGCCACTGAGCCATGCCCCTAGCCCTTTTTATTTAAGACAGGGCCTCACCAAGTTGCTTAAGGCCTCACTTAGTTGCTGAGGCTGGCCTTGAACTTGTAATGTTCCTGCCTCAGCCTCCAGAGTTGCTGGGATTACAAGCATGCACCACCATGCCCAGCTTTTAGTAACCATTTATAATATGTCCTATCCAATGGTTCTTTGATAACTGATTTACCATTTTAATCCAAAAGAATTGTCTATCTAATTAAAAAAAATAATAAGGCTTTTTAAAAAGTGAAAAGAAGCATATACTGAGTAGTATGAGCCACATCCTATGCTTGACACTTTGGAATACGTTTCTGTCCAATTCAGGTATGTGTATCAGGAACAACAAGAACATAATATGGAAAACCACGAGGTAAATATATTTTCTTGGCCTCCCAATTTTATTCAATTAATTGAGATACGCAAATTTACTAGTAGATAATGATATCTTTATAGAAAACTTTATGTTCTCTTTAATCAGAAACTCCTGTGGACATAAATTGGAGAGATACTACAAGAAATATTCAATTAGCCTACATGAAGACATTTGCATATAAGTTGTCTCCTATAACTTTTGTTATTCATGTAGTTTAAGATTTTATTTATTTATTTGAAATAAATTAATAACTCCTAACAAAAAATCGTAACCTCCCAGAATATCCTACTTTGTTTCAACCATATACTTACCACTTACCTGGGTCCTTACTTTTATCACAAGTACTGCATCACTTTACAAGTTAATCTCCTATGAGAACATAAGCTTCTTATTGTATCCCTAATAGAAGTCTTCACACAAAGAAGTGAAGATTCAATAAATGTTTGAAGAACTAGTATTTCTAATCAATGATTTTCAAGTTTTGTAAGCTCTTGCTATCCTTTCTTCAAATAAAATGATGTTTATAGACCCAATATTATTAAGAGAAAATATGGCACTCCTTGTGTTAAAGAGCTCAGAGACCCCTAAAAAAAAAAATCTCTGCTGGGGACTGGGGCTCAGTGGTAAAGTGTTTATGTGAGGCACTGTGTTCAAGCCTCAGCACCACATAAAAAAACACATTAATAAAATAAACAAAGATACTGTGTGTCCATCTGTAACTAAAATAATGTTTTTTAAAAAATCTGTGCTATATATTCACTTACTTCACAGGGGCTCGTGCATAAACCTGAAGCCAGTCAGGAATTTCTGCAGTATGATAAGGATTTGCAGGTACCAGAAGAGACTGATTTCTTTCAGTTTGCTGTGGCTGGTAAGTGACAGGAGGGGGTTGATCATACCGAGGTACACTAAGAAAACAGAATAAACATTCATTAAGATACAAATCCTAAAACTAAGCAAGAAATTATAAAGAACAAAGAATAATTTTGCATATTTCAGTGTGCTTCTTGCCCAAACTGACTACTTTCAAGGAATGGCTTTCTTTACCATACTAACTTTTCTTTACCATGAGGAAGAAAAATCCATCTTCCTTTGAAAATTGGGAGTGTTGCTAGTTTTAGGGTATGTCTTCTGGCTGGTATTTAATCTTTTCAAAGACAGTGTCAAAGGAGGTTACAAAAAAATTGGATAAACTATAGCCTTTACATAAAGGTTTAAAACTAGAATCATACATTTCTCTAATAACTTGTAATTAGTTGTAAATCTATATTGAAACAGTTGATAGCTTCTCTACAAATAAAAAATGATTTTCTTCCTCCAGTTGATTGAAAAGAGGGAAGGGGAAGAACTGGGAAATGTAGTATAGCAGGGACAGATACAATATCAATTTAAGAGAAGGAATAGGAGTTAGAATTGACTAGAACCTATTTTAAATCATGGACTTAAAAAGTCTTCCTCCAAACATAAAAATTTATGTGTATATCAGAAAGGGCCATAGCTTCTAAACCAGGATTAAAATAAGACACCACACTGTGGTTAACAATTTAAAGACAATGTGCAAAATGGCACTGAAATTTATCTTCAACTTTTCTTTCATGAGTAAGTTCAAAGGGAAACATTCACTGACACTGCAAGTTGGCAGTAGAGAAAATTGAGGCTCTGAAGTCAAATATACTTGTTTTTAAAACTTCAGCTTGACCACTATGAGTCATTAATGTGGGCAAAACTGCTTCACTTCTCTAAGCTCCGGCTTACTATATTTGTAAAAGTGAAATAATAAATTCATACCACACATGATTATTCTCAGATTAAATGAGCTAATGTCAACCAAGAGCTCTACTGAGGATTTAGAAGAAATCAAATTGCTGTTACTACTACTTATGTGATCTGAAAGAAGTGTTTATTTCCTCCTATTTTCTTCAGAGATGCTGGAAGAAGCAAATTAATTAATTGTGAAAATGCTTTGACAACCATAAAAATTCTATAATATTGTAAGGATAATGCCGATGAAGAGAAAAGTAGACTCTCAAATGTGGTTATTTGGGCCACAAATATCTCAGCAACCTAGTGATAGCAAAGGGTAATGACAGGTTTGGTTCTTTTTGCCTTTCTTTTTTAAATATATTTTTTCAGCTGTAGATGGACATAACATTAATTACTTATTTATTTTTATGTGGTGCTGAGTAGGCAAGCGCTCTATTACTGAGCCACAACTCCAGCCCAGGTTTGGTTCTTTTGAAGGGAGAACAACCTGTCATTCAAAAAACCGACCAAATGCCACTAAAGAGAATCACAGGAAAAAAAGATTTTCAAAGCTGAATCAATGATAAAGTTTAGCCTTCTCTGTGATACCACTAAAATATATTTTCATAATGATTTTAAGGATTCTTAAAAAAAATCACAAATGTAGTACTATAACCAAAAACCTGTATTATCCAAGATGATACTAGGTAACATTTATCAACATGCTGGTGACATTTTACCCATTTTTAATCTTATGACTCAGCTCTTGAAGTTTTATAATTATAGTTAAGGAGAAATACTTGCCACTTCATTACTAAACTACTACTAGCTTTATATGTACTTTGAAATCCAGTGTGTATTTTACACTTACAGCACATCTCAATTTGGATTAATCACATTTCAAGTGCTCATGTGATAACTGGCTGCAGTATTAGCACAAGGCTAAAACGGTGGCAACAAATCAATTGACTGGTAATCCCAGTATCAGACAAAATAGAATAATTAGCTACATTGATTAAATAGATCTGAGACATTTAGTCCAGTCTCAATTTTCACTTTCTTAATTGGGAACAGTAAGCAACACTACATAAAATCATGTCTGAAATTGAATAAAATTCAAAAATATTTTGATTAAGGAGGTAGAGGTAGGTATGAATTATTTACAGGAATTTATAAAGATGTTTTACTTATTTATGTCAACTTCTGACTATCTAACAAAAACATCCTGGCATATTAAAACAATCTGATTACAAGAACACTGAGCCTCTTTTTGAGCTTGTTTAAACAAAAAGTACTTTTAAAATTATTAAAGTCATTCATCACTAAACATAAGTTCAGAGAAAATTATCACAAATTTTGAGAAATAAGGACTTAAATCTCAAGTTTCAGGATACCTACCTCTGATGAAACTGTAAGTCCAAAATCTAACACAAGACAATCTGAAAACAAAAAGTTGAAAATAAAATTGATACTCTACCTAGGAGCACAAGGATGTCTGTACTGAGCCTTTTTATTTGTGTGATCTACATAATAAGTTCCAAATTCTGATGACTCAACTCGTTCCCATCCAGGAGGAAGTCCTTCTCGTTCAAGAGGATGGCTCCAATGAGTTGTGTTTGTATTATGATCGATATAATATTTTCTCCCTCTCATTGTCCAGTCCACAGACCAGCCAGGAGGAAGGGGTAAATCTTCAGACCCATGGTTAGTTAAATTTCCTAAAGATGTAGCAGCAACTCTCCCAATACCTGATGGGAAAAAGGAAAAGAACAGTTATTAAATTATCTCTTCAGTTAAAATTTATGATTATGACATTATAAAGTTTTTCATAAAACTAGCCAATATCATTATTTAATTACAAAATGAGGGAGGAACTAGACTTTGACGTTAGTGTGGTTTTTCAGTTTGAGGCTTCCATTATCAGGCCTTATGAAAATTTAACTAGTAGTGAAGAAGCTACTTAAGTACACAGACTGCAAAAGCAAAAGCAAAGAAAGGAAAATCTTTTATCATTTAATATTTGACATTTCAGCAAAAAAAAATAAAACTTATAAAGTCATTCCGAGTTTATAATTTCTTAAATAATCAGGCTGTGCCCTAGAATTATTAAGGAAGCTTATCAAAGTAACAAGTGGCTCCAAAAATGGACTAAATATCTCAGATCTATTGTGGCTGGCGAGCATTTTCACTTAACATGGTATCCTTGGATACAATCTATTTTCTTGCAAATTGACAGGATTATATTTTTCTTTATGATTCAATAACACTCCATCAGGTATATATACCATATTTTCTTTATCAATCATGGTACCAAAATCAAATATTTACAAAAAAATTAACAAAACATGCAGGATCTCTGTGCTGAAAACTATAAAAGCGCTGACAAAAGAAATGACAAGAAGACCCATTATGTTAATGGATTGGAAAATTCAAGACAATTAAGATGTCAATTATCTGGAAATAATCTTTATGTTCAAGATAATTCCAATCAAAATCAAAGGAATTTTTGCACACATAGGTAGACAATAGACAAATGGGCTTTAAAATGTATACCAAAAGATAAAAGAACCAGAATAGTCAAAATAATTGTGTAATATAATTAACATATTAATTATGCAAATTTATGTTTCACTGTGACATTTCCACTACACAAATCATGCATTGATGATACCTACTCTTCTTTCTATCCTTTTCCTGTCCCCCTACTTCCTAGTCAAGTCCTCCAATAGTCCCTCTTCTATTTTCAGATCATCAGTATGTTTTTTTTTAAGTTACCACATGAGAGAAAACATAAGACACATGTCCTTCTGTGACTAGCTCATTTCACTTGACATGTTATCCCCCAGTACCATCTATTTTCTTGCAAATGACAGGATTACATTCCTCTTTATGGTTCAGTAATACTCCATTGGATATATACACCATATTTTCTTTATCCATTCATCTGCTGACAAGCACTTCAGCTAATTCCATATTTTGGCTATTGTAAACAGTACTGGAAATAAACAAGGGTGAGCAAATATCTTTTGGTATGCTTTCATTTCCTCCAGATATATACCCTGGAACAGTACAGCTTGATTACATGGTAGGCAACTCTATTTTCAATTTTTTGAGGAACCTCCACACTGTTCTCCTAAGGGCTGTATTAATTTACCTTCCCATCACCAGTTTATAAGGATTCCTTTTCTCCACATTCTCACCAGCATAGAGAGATGCATAGACAGACAGACAGACAGCCATTCTAGCTGGGGCAAAATGAAAATTCAATGTAGTTTTGATTTGCATTTCACTGATAACTATATCTAACAAGTGTTTCTCAGATATTTATGGGCCATTTGTACTTTTCTTGAAAAGGTCTATTCAAGTCATTTGCCCATTTTTTTATGATTAGATACGTGTTTTCTTAAGATTTTTTTCTTTTAGTTCTTTTATAAATTCTGAATGTTAATCCTCTTATCAGATGAAAAGCTGGAAAATATTTTCTCCTACTATAAACTCCTTTGCTCTGTTGTTTCCTTTGCAATGCAGAAGCTTTTAAATTTGATGTACTCTCATTTGTCAATCCTTGCTTTTGTTCCCTGAAATGCTGGAGTCCTATCCAGGAAAACACTGCCTATGCTACTATCTTGAAGTGTTTCCCCTGTTTTCTTCTAGTAGTTTCAAATTTTCAGGTCTTAGATTAAGGCCTTTGATTCATTTTGAGTTGATTTTTGTAGATAATAGATGGGTCTAGTTTCAATCTTCTACACGTGGATACCTAGCACCATTTGTTGATAAGGCTTCCTCTCCAATGTATGTTTTTGGTACCTCTGTCAAGAATCAGTGGGTTAGACAGACTGCCAGAAGCTGAGAGGAGTGAACATATTTCAATACTCAAGTACCTCTTGAATCGCCTGGTTTCCATTAAGGCAAAATAAGTTCTAATTCTCTGTAAACCTCAAAACAGGCCCTGTGACTGCAGTGAAAAGAATCCCAGGAGAACTCAGGAATAAAAATGGAGAAAGCAGCTCTTTAGAATGAAATTTCCAGAAATACCCAGGTACTAAAGGAGGGATGGGGGGGAACAGGAACCAGGGAGGCTCTCAGGCTAGTTAAAATGTGAAGTGACCAGGAAATCTGGAGTTTCCTGCAATAGTTGGTATTTTTTTAAAATTTTATTGATCTTTTTAGATATACATGTAGAGCATATTTTGACATATTTATACAAAAATGGAGCATAATTTATATAAGAATGGGAATTTCCTGAATGTGAAATGTACCTCAGAGTGAGGGATAAAAATCTTGTAGTGTCAAAAGCAACTGCTCAGTGTCTTAATCAGAGAGGTATAAAGAAGACTTGGAAAAAATATTCCCCTACACTAATAAGTTTGTAGGATCTATCTATCCCAGACTATCCATGAAGCCAACAAGACCAAAGAATGAACCACTGCCTTGTTCTTACGGAGAGGAGCTACACAGGACCTGGGATATAGATAAAAGGACAACAGGGCCTCTCAGGTCCTTTTTGTAAAGATGATGCTGACCTCCCACTTGCTGAGTACCATATACAGGACTGTGACATCCCCATTCCCTTTGAAGAGCTCCTGTGACCTTCATGGAGATCCTCAGATACCTGGATGGGAGCCCTAGAACATGAACTCTCCAAGGGCAATCCCCATCCTGCTTCTTCCATTTTCACAGGAGCCCCCAATCCAAAACAGCTGTGGTTGACCTTTTCTGACTCTGATCCATATCCTCAATTAAAACAATTAGAATCTGGATCCTAATTCTGTCTGAAAAACAACAGAATAATACAGTAGTGTAACTGATAATTTCTTCCTTTCTCTATCAACAATGAGAATAAAATGTGAAATTAAATGATAAAAATCAAGAATTAGTTAGCTGGTTCATTTCTGGGATCTCTATTCTGCACTTGTTATGGTTTGGATTTGGAATGTTCTCCAAAGGCTCATGTGTTTAAGGTTTGATCCCCAATGCAGCGATGTTAAGAAGTGGGGCCTTTGTCTTTGGGAATGTGATTGGATCATGGGTTCTGACCTCATAAGTGGATTAATCCATTGATAGATTCATAATCTGATGGCAATATGAGGAGGTAATACAAACTGCAGGAAATAATATCTAAATGGAAGAAGTCCATCACTGGGGGTGTGCCCCTGGAAGGTTATTTTTTCCCCTTCTCTCTCTCTCCTGTTAGGGTCCATAAAAAAGTCAAGATGGCGCCTGGCACTTTGCCAGAGGGAGTGGTTTGTGAAGTAACGCCAACAAGCCATTAGGATGATGAGGATTCCTTAATGACTGACTGCTGTATCTAATGATGTTAATTAAGTTATCTAATGGTGTGTAATTAGTTGGGTATATATACTTCTGTGTCCTGTAATAAAGCGGCTCCCGCTGTATCGACCTCCAAAAGTTACTTGTCTCCCCCCCCCCCCCGCCCCCAGACTGCGGCACTAAACCTCTCCTTCATGGCTGCCAGCAGGTGGACAAACGTTCTGCATCACCTCAGGCCTAAAGTAATGGAGTGGCTGAGCATGGACTGAAATCTATGCAACTGTGAACCAAAATAAACTGTTCTTCCTCTAAGTTGTTTATGACAGGTATTTTGATCATAAAAATACCTATGTGATCCTTTGAATTTCAGTTGTAGTATCTGCTGCAATGTCTCCCTTTTCACTCTAGTTTCACTTATTTGGGTATTCTTTATCTTTTGATTAACTTAGCTAAAGATTTGTCAGTTTTTACTTTTTCAAATAACCAATTCTTTGTTTCATTGATTCTTTGTATTATTCTTCTGGTCTCTATTTATTTATCACTTCTCTCCTTCTACTCATTTTGGGTTTGGTTTGAAATAATTAAGAATAAAGCTGATCCTCTGCACTGCCCAATAAATAAATAAATACAATGCAGTAATCCAGGCAGTGTACTCCTGACAACAGAACAGACAAATAGATTGATGGAACAAGATGAAAAATCCAGGAACATACCCACATATACAAGGTCAACTGACTTTTTGAAAAGGTAAAAAAGCAACTTCACAGAGGAAGGGCATTTTTCCCCCCCAAAAAAGATGTTGGAACAACAGGACATTCATATGTACAAGTACTCATCACAATCCATACCTCCCGAATTATACAAAAACTAACTCAAAATGAATCATATATCTAAATGACAAAACTATAAAACTATTAGAAGATAAACCAAGATTACACCATATGTATAATATGTCAAAATACACTTTACTGTCATGCATATCTAAAAAGAATTAATTTTAAAAATTAAAAAAAAAAACAAGATAAATCTTTCTGACCTTAGGCAATGAGTTCTGAACCATGACGCTAAAAGCTTAATCCATAAAGGAAAAATACTGACACTCTGGACTTCATCAAAATTTAAAATGCTCAGACATCTGAGAAAGACATTGTTAGGAAAATCAAACTATAAACTGGGAAAAAATACTGCAAATCATACATTACACAAAAGATCTTAGACTACAGAAAGACTCTCAAAATTCAACATGAAGGGCTGGGTGGTAGAGTGTTTTGCATGCACAAGGCCCTGGGTTTGAACTCTAACATTGAAAGGAGGGGGAAAAAACCCTCAACTTGAAGACAACTCAATTTTTTAAAAAATGGGCAAAAGATTTTGACAGGCACTTCACCACAGAAGACATATAGATGGTAAATTAACAGAGGAAAAATGCTCAGACACCAGGGAAATAAATGCAAATTAAAACCACAATAAGATGACA